GGTTTAAGCTTTTAAAATCTCAGTTCAGGATTGCAACGTTACACTTATTGGGTTCTAAAAAAAATCGAGCGTAGCGAGTCCACCAATATATATATATAAATGAAGAGATAAATAGTTTTTTCAACCTCTAACAAAGGCTAAAATCAGATTATGTGCAAATAAGCCTGATGAAACATGTGCAAGTAACACGTGTTCTGAAAGGAGTATCCTAATATCATTTATTAATAATTAATGCATATAATGCTTAAAATGGATTTATTTCAACTAAATAGAAACTATGTGATGAATATTTATCTTAAAGGGACTGTAAGCACCATTTCCAGTGACCCACCATTCAAATTGCAAGAACCAATCAATGATGGGGAGATCATCTCGTAGATTTTCTTGGTTAAAAATGTTTGATTGTAATAATTCCTGAATGTTTTCCTGCAGTTTAAATGCGTAAGTCACTTTTATAGAGAAACCACATAATTAATTTTCAAAATGATAAACACTGATATCCAATTTATACTTGAAAAAACAAAGTTTTCATGGGCACCATTGTTAAAAGGGCATTGATATCCTTGCATTTAAGGCCACTTGAAATAACGCAAACAGCCCCTTTAATGAGAAAAAATGTAATATGGAAGCATTCCCATTTGCGTTTGATGGAATTATGAAGCAAACAAATCTATCAGAAGCTTGAAAAACAACTTATTAAGTGCAAATAGGTCTGTATGTACCACATAGTTGCTGTGTTTTACTGTTCACTGGACTATTTAAAATCCTAACTTGAGTCCAACATTCGTACGGTGATAATCAGAAAAATCTGGAATAGTAAGACGACTTTTAGAATCAAGTTTTAACTTTAAAAAGTTCAATGACGACGAAGAACAGCAATTGTGCAGTGTAAAAAGACCCATTTCACAAAATAAGTAATTTTATAAGTGTCTGGTAAAGCCATTTGCTATGTAAACCCATTAAATACATTTAAGTATTGCTATAATGTCGTCCTCCTATTCCATTGTTATCTGGTTATTACTGTATTCCAATTCCACAGATTTATGGGTCCCCCTGTAGCGCATTTTTCATGTACACAGTACATATACTAAGCTGTGATGATCGAGTACAATATCTGTATCTCAAGCGTAGAATCCCCAAAAAAACATGGCAACTGAAAATATTCCAAATGTTAGATATTTCAACTGATTTAGGATACATTTTTTCTTACGATGATCATATTGCATTACTGTCTACAACAATCTTCTTCCAATCAGGTTCGATTAAGGAATCAGCATCTTCTTCAGCTGTTTCACTAGCTGTCTTTAGCACAACCTGAGTTAAACAACTATGAAGTGTGAGCTGGTTAAACATCTGTGAAAGTGTGAGCTGGTTAAACATCTATGAAAGTGTGGGCTGGCTAAACATCTATGAAAGTGTGAGCTGGTTAAACATCTATGAAAGTGTGAGCTGGTTAAACATCTATGAAAGTGTGAGCTGGTTAAACATCTATGAAAGTATGAACTGGTTAAACATCTATGAAGTGTGAGCTGGTTAAACATCTATGAAGTGTGAACTGGTTAAACATCTATGAAGTGTGGGCTGGTTAAACATCTATGAAAGTATGAACTGGTTAAACATCTATGAAGTGTGAGCTGGCTAAACATCTATGAAAGTGTGGGCTGGTTAAACATCTATGAAGTGTGAGCTGGTTAAACATCTATGAAGTGTGAGCTGGTTAAACATCTATGAAAGTGTGAGCTGGTTAAACATCTATGAAGTGTGAGCTGGCTAAACATCTATGAAAGTGTGAGCTGGTTAAACATCTATGAAAGTGTGAGCTGGTTTAACATCTATGAAGTGTGAGCTGGTTAAACATCTATGAAAGTGTGAGCTGGTTAAACATCTATGAAGTGTGAGCTGGTTTAACATCTATGAAAGTGTGGGCTGGTTAAACATCTGTGAAAGTGTGAGTTGGTTAAACATCTATGTAGTGTGAGCTGGTTAAACATCTATGAAGTGTGAGCTGGTTAAACATCTATGAAGTGTGAGCTGGTTAAACATCTATGAAAGTGTGAGCTGGTTAAACATCTATGAAAGTGTGAACTGGTTAAACATCTATGAAGTGTGAACTGGTTAAACATCTATGAAGTGTGAGCTGGCTAAACATCTATGAAAGTGTGAGCTGGTTAAACATCTATGAAAGTGTGGGCTGGTTAAACATCTATGAAAGTGTGAACTGGTTAAACATCTATGAAGTGTGAACTGGTTAAACATCTATGAAGTGTGAGCTGGCTAAACATCTATGAAAGTGTGAGCTGGTTAAACATCTATGATAGTGTGAGCTGGTTTAACATCTATGAAAGTGTGAACTGGTTAAACATCTATGAAGTGTGGGCTGGTTAAACATCTATGAAGTGTGAGCTGGTTAAACATCTGTGAAAGTGTGAGTTGGTTAAACATCTATGAAGTGTGACAGTACAACAAAATGGCAGTTTTTTGGATTTAGCCCCTATACACATTATTTGCTCGGCGGATAAAACCGTTTTTTGTGAGGTTCCAACTTTTTTTTCTTCAAGTTTTAGAATTTTGATTATTCTATTTTCCCACTGTATTTATTGCGATTGTTAAATAGGTTAAGAACATTTTTTCATTAATGTAAACACATAATTTTTTTTTTACATGTGACCCAATCAAAGTGTAGATTAACCATAAAGGGAAAATCAAAAATGATATATGTGTGAAATAACGATTTAGATTTGTCTATTTTTAGCATGGAATAAAACACAAAAGAATATTTAATCATAAACCATCAAATCAAATTTTCATAGAATTTATTAACGATATTGTTTAAAAGATCTTTAAGAGTTCCTCTTTGATAAATAAATTTTGAAATAAGATATTTTTGTAGTTCTGCTTCAAAGATTATTTTTTCTCTTTGTATCAAATAACATTAAATGAAGAATGAAGATTTAGAATGAGGAAATAGAATACTTTTTAACAAATGTAGGTTTTCAATATTGTTCACTTGTTATTATTTTATTTAAACTTCTTTGATTTAAAAAAAAGGATTTTGAAACTTGTTTAATAGCAAAATAGATTTTAAAACTTTTTTGGTTGAAAAAAAGAATTTTGAAACTTATTTGGTTGAAAAGGATTTTGAAATTGGTTGAAAAAAAGATTTCGAAACTTATTAAGAGTTGTTTATCAGTAGTTTTTTTTTAGAAAAAGAAGTTGTTTTTCAATACAAATTTCCTTCACTTTGATATGTGTTTGACATATTTATGATATATTTTGCTTCCTTTTCCGTATGGTTATTCTTTATTAAAATATGCTAGATTTAGAATCCTGAGATGAGAGAGCACAGAGATCTGTTAAAAGAAAACTTACCCCTTGAATAGGTTTTATGTGCAACAAGTGGTAGTTAGATGGCAGTCATAAAACATATTTCAAGAATAAAGTAGGTCGTGCAGGGATAGACGTTTAGCCGTCTCAATAATATGATAAGCAACTTATACTGCAAACCAAGTTCTGCTCGCTTTCACACAAAATATGTTGCATGCATAGTATTTTTAAATTGTATATAATGCATAGATGAATAGGGCTACAAAAAAGTAGAGGTGAGTTGGTGAAAAAAACCATTAAACAAAGACCAAGGATTTTCAACGCAAGAGGATTTTACTTTAGCGCAATTGCAAGCCCTGTAAACTCCTCGCAATTACACACAATTCCTTACAATCCTGCGCAATTCCGCTTAATTCCGTGGAATTCAAGAACGCGCAACAGAATTCCGATTGGAAATCCTAGCTGCAACAATTTAAATTCGAAGCTTACTAAAAATTGGATGACTAACTTTCAGAGTCAAGTCTCTGTGCAGCGTGCTGACTGAAAAAGTATGCACTGACCTACTATGCAAATTCACCTTTAACTGGTTCTTTTAATTTTATAATTTTATAATGGTGTTGTTAGATGAATTGTAGATGCTGAGTAAAACAAAACAATCTGGCTGGAATGAACTATTAAGGGCGTATTAGAAAATTTGGGCATGTCACTTTATATACAGGCTTGAAAAAGACAAGATTGAGTGGAATAACAAAGCATGGTTGCACACTATATTTACATGATAACAATACAAACGATTATTGTTGGACCAACTAAAGTTGATCTAAATATACATGACATTTGCTTTGGGCGAATATATTTCCATTCGACTCTTCTGATCAGATGCTCCATGCTAACTGAGTAGTCCTAGGAGACCCTAGGCATAAGATGGCCGACAATCTGCTTTCTCTGCCGGCAAGATAAATGACGTTTTTACTTCTTTCTGCGATACCCTTGTCCCTCTACACACTCTTATGTTTTTAAGGCTGCAAACATACCTGGGGTTCAATACCCGTTTGGACCTGGATTGTTAGGCTTTATTCTTTATTGCATTTGTAATGTGCATCATTTCTCCGATTGGGAGCAATGAACTTATATCAGATTATGAACATAGGGTTCACACTAATCTTACCCATAGAGAATAGAATATATANTACTGTATTAATGTACTCTACTGCATATAATTTGTGAACATTTACATGATTTGTACACTTTAAACTCCCTTTCAGGCTGAAAGGGACTGAAAAAATTCATACCGAGAGATTCTTTTAATTCCTCTCTATATATTCTATTCTCTATGTCAATGATACATGACGTCAAATATAACAAGGAAAACCAAATTTTCTCACAATAATTGACATGTTTTCCAAGATTCAATAAAAGTGTAAACACAGAAAATAAAGAGCACATACAAGTGGACTTATTTTACTGTAAGATAAGCACTTTATTCTAAAATTATCATTATTATTAATAATTTTGTCGGACACAAAAACTGAGTTGACACTTGTGGCGTAGGAATACAGCTGTACTGAGAGTGTACAAATTCTACGTTATCTATTGTACTTGACAATCTATTTGATCCGAAGTAAGTTTCACCAGTTTAGTTTGAAGGGGCTGCAACTTAACTTTTCAAACCGGTTTTCTTTTCTTTTCTTTCCAATATTTTTATTCGTAGGGGAAAAAAAAACAAAAAAAACGATCGTTTTATCAAGTTCGTTTTTGGTTCGTTTTTGATTAGTTACCTAGGAGATTTTGACTTGTTAGATACAATTAAACATCGGATGGAAATAGAAACAGTGAAATAACAAAATATATAATAAAGCTCTTCGCTCATATATAGCTGGCCAAACGGCTCGACCAAATTGCCAGACATTTTTTCTCTTGAGTACCATAGGCTAATTTTTTATTTTATTTTTAAAATTCGTTTTTTTTTTCAAGATTCAATTATTTCCTCCAAGTGTTGCAAACAGTCCAAGGGCAACGCCGGGAACTTCAGCTGGTTATGAATAATTGGTAATACCAGGTTGCGGTTGACTTTTAGTTTTGCCTAACACTCTTTTTAATTGCTAAACATAGATCTTACTTTTAATATTTTGTGGAGCCGAGTTTTCATAATCTGGTTCATCTTCTAGGCCTACCCTACAATATAGAGAGATCTAATTCAAGGGAAACCAAGAATTCGTGGAATTATTGATATCGTATTTCTTCTATTCTATTCTATTTGTACATAGTTTATATTTTATAATATTGCATTTTTTCAGAAAACGTTTTAACGGATTTCGAAAAATGTGAGTAGTGCGCGGCATTCTTAGATAGTTGCGCAAGCGAAATAATCCAATTCAAAACAAATTAATTAAAAAATATTATAAAATATAAACTATATACAAATGTGGCGAAAGATAATCGATGACTATACATTGTAATATCTAAATGATTTGTTTGAAATTAAATTGATTTTTTACGATCTAAGTCGTATGTTGGAATTTTCTCAATTTTTATGGGACGTTTTTAACAATTTTCTCCTTATAGACGCAACAGATAGAAGTAAGATTAGTAGCGATCAAAAGGGCTTTTTTATCGCATTTTTCGCGAACACTCCATTTAATAATCGAATAAAAAAGACCTGGGACTCACCTGACTTCAGTACTGTGTCTTGTCCACCAAGTGAGCCTGTGAAGGGATGATTTTTATTTTTAAATCTTGAAAGGTATGAAGATTGACAGTGAATATATGTTTTACATAATGCTAGTGTTACATTTATAGTCCGGTTATTATCAATTTTGCGGTGGTTAAACCCCCCCCCCCCTGATTGAAAAAAAACTGTATTATTGTGTGTTTAATTCAATGCTGCGTAATGAAAGACGATTTACTTGTGCGGTGGAGGAGTGAGAAGACTGACTACAATGGCAACTATCCCTGATATTGCCCAAAGAAGAAGTCCAAAATGTAGAAAATGAATATCTCCGACAAGACGTTGCCACCACTCTGGAGGAGGGGGCTCGGAGGACCCACACGGGGGGTTCGAAAACCCGAACTCCAAACCAAACCTAACAATCAAAATTTATTTAAAAGTTTCATAAAGTCGTCGCATATGGCAATACGATAAAGATGACTTTCTAATAAATCTACCTGATTAGTCCAACTACAAGTTTAATAAATCTACCTGATCAGTCCGACTACAAGTTTAATAAATCTACCTGATTAGTCCGACTACAAGTTTAATAAATCTACCTGATCAGTCCGACTACAAGTTTAATAAATCTACCTGACCAGTCCGACTACAAGTTTAATATATCTATCTGATCAGTCCGACTACAAGTTTAATATATCTACCTGATTAGTCCGACTACAAGTTTAATATATCTACCTGATTAGTCCGACTACAAGTTTAATATATCTACCTGATTAGTCCGACTACAAGTTTAATATATCTACCTGATTAGTCCGACTACAAGTCCGACCATTAAACCCCAAAAAGCTCCAGGTTCATTTGTTCTCGGCCAAAATATTGCTAGAAGGTAGATAGCACAGATTGGAGGAGCTAGGTAGCTTGTAATAGCTTGGATATAATTAAACAGTTGGGAACCCTGGCTAGCCTAGAAATATAACTACCGTATGTACTGTGTACTGTGTACTACAGTCGTCGTCGTTTATATCAATACAATATTTTGATTTAAACTAACCTTTTAAAAGCAGAGACACTATACACATCTTATCAAAGAGAAGTTGTCAATTAAAAGCGTCTTTTTAATAGCTTGTAAACATATAATTTGACAAACGCTTGTTAGGGGTCAAATTGCATATTACTAAAATGTCATCTTCATTGTATTGATACAATCGCCGACCACCGTATGTACTTTGTATTGTTTGATGTGTACAGCGTACTGTGTTCTGTGTACTGTATACTTTATACTGTATATTGTGTGCTGTGTACAGTTAACTTTGTAGCGTGTACTGTGTACAGTGTACTTTGTAGTGTGTACTCTGTGTAGTGTGTACTGTGTACTGTGAACTTTGTAGTGAGTACTGTGTATTGTGTACTGTGTTCTGTGTACTGATCACTGTGTAATGTGTACTGTATACTGTGTACTGTGTACTGTGTACCGTGTTTTGTGCACTGATCACTGTGTACTGTATACTGTGTACTGTACACTGTGTACAATGTGTCACGTGTGACCTGTATACCTGAATGATTGGTATCCAAACTATGGCAACTCCGACCAGAAAAAGAACAAAAACTCGTCCCACCACTAGCAACTCAGCTTCCCCAGCTTTGGGTCGGAACCTGAAAACAGATTCCTTTGAACATATTTTAATTTAAATATTAGTTCAAGTGACCTTCCATTTATAGAGCGGCATGTTGGATTCCCAACATTACCCTTGCATGCGTTTTCTGATAAATGATGAATTAAATTTCCATGTATATAATTTTCAAAACTGATTATTTTCAATTGTGGTTTCTCTACAAAAGTTATAATAAGCCATGGAGGAATTATCAAAGTAACACTTTGCAAGCTAAAATAAAGACGCCATCTTAATCTTCCACATTATTGTAATTACAACCTCGGAAAATCTGAAAAGTCGCAATTTTGCAAATTTTGAGATTTCAAAAATTGCAGACTGGTTCAAAGCAAATAAACTGGCATTAAATGCCTCTAAAAACAAAGTATATACTTTTATGAAAGAAATCAAAAGTTCTGGTAGGGTACTAAACTTTTCATCGAAAATAAGGAAATGGATAGAAGAGGTGCTGGTTGTAAAACAGAATCCTTTAAGATCTTGATGAAAACCTAACCTGGAATCACCATGTTAAAGTTGTAAAAAACAAAGCATCTAGCAACGTAAAAAATCTACTTCCAAGTACCATTAAGCATACTATTTATAACTTCTTATTTCGCTCTTTTGTAGAATATGGAATTGCAGCCTAGGGGTGAAATAAAAGTCCCAAAATGAAAAAAATTAGCTTGCTCCAAAAACGTGCAGCTGAAATCATTGATAATGCAAAAACCACTTCACATAGTGATCCTCTTTTTTTAAGTAAAAACCCTTAAGTTAAATGATTTGATTGATTTCAATCAAGCAACATTTAAATTTAATTTAATTAATTTAAATACGCAACAAATCTTCTATACCCTCATCATTTAAAAAGACTTATAAAAAAATCGGAAATTTTGAGAGGTATCTTAATTATCAAACTGACATTTTAAATACAGGCTCATTGGAATATCATCCCTCATATGCACTTCTTGAGATTTGGAATAATTTGCCACTTGAAAAAGAAGTACCTCGTCAGGCATGTTTTAAAAAAGTCTATTAGAAATGTTATCTGACGCCTACATCTCAAAGTGCAATAAACCCTCTTGTTATTTTTGAAAATATAAATAAAATATTGGTAGATTAATGTACATGCTTAATCTTTTTCTGTTATACATACTAAACCTTAAAACTGAAAAATCAATGGTTTTGTTATGCTGCACCTCGGTCTCTCTAATTTCACTTAGTAATCCCTGACTTATTGTAAACTTTCAAAACCTAGTAAAATTCATCATATTGTAAACGTTTTAATATTAATTAGGAGGGTATGATACCCAAACCAGCGAAAGCTAATCTCCACCTAATTGCTATAATAAATACATATAGCATAAACAATATAAAAATAGTTGCAGATTTTTTGTTTGTAATTATAACTATGTGTATTTTTAGCAATAAACTTTAACTTATCTTATCTTATTTTTACCTTTCAAGAGACTTTAAAAGAAATTACAAGTACCTTGATCACTAATAAAACATTTTTTAAAATTTCTTTCCTAATTATCTATATTCATAACTTTTGCTTGAACGTTATTTTTTTGTTGCAAACATTTTTCGCCAAAAAATAGCAAAATTCAAATTCAAATTCAAATAAAATGGGTGACAAATGACAATACAGAGAACCCCAATAGGATAATACTTAAAAGACGACTGTATAGAAATTTTTAGTCTTAATGTTTGCAAATGGTTCCTAGTACAACAGTTTCTTTTTATATTTTATATTTTACTTAAAGTAAAAAGACTCCTTTAAGGTAGTGTCTGGCTACTGGCTAGACATGGTAGTGGAGCTGAGGATGCATTCTTGTGAAGAAATTTTATAGGATTCATTTAAGATCTATGAAACTTTTTAAAGTGTCAACCCACCAGGCATGAGTGCAGCACCACAACCTGCCTCGCCACAAACAGGTGGACAGGCATGCCTTCCTGGCGAGGTATGGCGCTGCACGTCATGCCTGGCGGGTTGGACAATCCTGGAGGATTTTAATGATAAAATTTTCACCGTAGCTGATCTATTTTACACTGTACAAACGTCTAATGGGTCTTAAACGATTTCTAAAAATTGCTCCACAAGACTGTATTCTTAGCTCAACTACCATGTCCAGCCAGACACTCCCTTTAATATTAAATAAATGGTCGTCTTTTAAGCCTCATTCTTCGTGTATCCACCTGTAAATACCTTGGATATAAATCCATTGTAAATATAGTTGATGATGAGTTAAAGATAGAGGTTAATGAAGACATCAGCGCAGCCAACATTACAGCTAACATCATACCTCTACAAGATAATAAATTTAATATCATACTTAGGATCTCTTTTTGGATTTATTAACATACTAGCTTAAGTGACCAACGTTGCCCGAGGAATTTTAAAAACAAATTTAAAAAATTAAATTTTGAAAAAAGTCGTTTAGCCAGCTATAGTTATGCATGTATATATATACATATAGCGATAAGATTCATTTATGGATTTGTCAGTTAATTCTTAGTTAAAGAATTGTAAACAAAGAAATTGAGTTTTTGCCACAAACACTGATTTTCTAATCCTTTTAACTGTGCAACACAATATCGTAGACCTTTGATATTCTGAACATATGAATTTATTAGATCAAATAATTCAAATAATAATAATTTAGGTATCTAAGGTCCAAGCCATCAGTTTGCAAAGATATAGGAATTCGAAATTTTTAGTTTGCTGCAAAAACTCAATTCCTTTAGAATTTTTTTTTCAAGACAAATTAGCATGATCTAAGAAGCGTTATTTACTAAAAATAATTCTCCTTTCATTAGAATAAATAAATTGGATTATTGACACATTTTCCTACCCTGTACTTTAAGGTAGAAGAAACTGTAATTTTAGTAATTTGTAATTTGTAAATACAACTTTTCAGCAACAGAGGGGGGGGNCCTGAAGCCGTCCTTGCATGGATTTGCAGAATTAATTTTTCTTCCTGAGTTGTTTTTACTTTAAGCGTTATTTAATCGTATTTTCTTCATTTTACATTTTAAATGGTTTATTGAATTATGTACAAGTGTTAAGTCAAAATGAGAGTTATTTTTAAAGCTTCTTTTAGCTTTACAAGGAAGGCAATAAAGGGGGAGGAGGAAGTGAGGGTTTTTGCCCCCCTCCTCCCAAAATATTTTAATGGTTTGCAAACCTAAGACCAATAGGCATGAGCTCGGCCACAAGTTTGATAAAAGCCATATTTGTGCAACCTGCCTCACTTCCACATATCTCCTAAAATTTTGTATCTTAATCAAATACGAATGAATAAATGAAATGAATGCTTGTTGGTTGATGGTTAGTAAAAGAATGAAAGAAAACGATCTCTATTATTTCTTATAAAAACATTTTCAAAGATTATTCATATTGGACATCACTTGCAAATCTATGAATGATTACAGACCCGTAAACAATCTAAAGATAATCGATTTTGTACAGTTAATCCGAGAAATGAAAGAATTTTTAAAATGTCGTCTTAACAACTTTTCAATGGGTTTTATATTATTATACCCAAATCTCAGTAATCATAAAAAGCCATGAAATATGCGGAAACAATTTTAAAGAGCTCCATATAATTATTCAACTAAAAACTAAATATCTGCAGCATTTCTATTTTATTAGATTAAGAAGACGACATTCTACAAATTCGTTTGATGTCTCCGAAGTTCTGAGTTGTAATGTAGAAAACTGAAACAAAATAACCTACCTTGCACTGGATTGGATCAGCACAGCCCACCACATCAGGGAACAAAACCCTAGCGGCCATTCCAGGAAATATCATTATAAATAGGGGCAGCAGTTTCAAGTACCCAGCTAGAATACAGGCACCCTAGATATATTTCAATATATTAAGCTGAGGTAGCAGTTTCAAGTAGCTGCAGCTAGAATACAGGCACACTAAATATATTTTAATATATTAAGCTGAGGTAGCAGTTGCAAGAAGTCAGCTAGAATACAGGCACCCTAGACATATTTTAGTATATTAAGCTGAGGTAGCAGTTTAAAGTAGCTGCAGCTAGAAAACAGGCACCCTAGATATATTTTAATATATTAAGCTGAGGTAGCAGTTTCTAGAAGCCAGCTAGAATACAGGCACCCTAGATATATTTTAATATATTAAGCTGAGGTAGCAGTTTCTAGAAGCCAGCTAGAATACAGGCACCCTAGATATATTTTAATATATTAAGCTGAGGTAGCAGTTTCTAGTAACCAGCTAGAATACAGGCACCCTAGATATATTTTAATATATTAAGCTGAGGTAGCAGTTTCTAGAAGCCAACTAGAATAAAGGCACCCTAGATATATTTTAATATATCAAGCTGAGGTAGCAGTTTCAAGTACCCAGCTAGAATACAGGCACCCTAGATATATTTTAATATATTAAGCTGAGGTAGCAGTTTCAAGAAGCTGCAGCTAGAATACAGGCTCCCTAGATATATTTTAATATATTAAGCTGAGGTAGCAGTTTCAAGTAGCTGATTTCGCAAGTAACTTTTGTAGCGAAACCATAATTTAAAAAATCAGTTTTCAAAATTATAAGCATGACTATCATGCTTCAAATTACACTAATAAATTTATACCTTAGCATGTGACATATCCTTGGACGCCAGGGCCCTCTGTACAATAACCTGGTCCGAGCACCAGTACCAGATTGAAGATATTGCTAGCCCGAAGGTCAACCCAGACCAAGGTAAATCAGATTCTCCTAAAAAATATTGAAAACATAAAAAAAACTTGTCATCAAATTTGATTTAATTGTTAAAAACTTTAATGTGATTTTGAGAAAAAAATCATATTAAAAATTATTATTTTAATTAACAGAAAAAAAATTCAGTAAAATAGTTTTAAAAAACCGACAAATAATTGGTAGAGCAAAAAAATGTGGAATAAAAGACGACATTTTATCATTTTGATGTTGTTATGAAGCAAATAGTTTTACCAGTAGTTCGAAAATAACCTATTTTAAGAGATACAGGTCTGTGCATTGTGCAAACTGCACAATTTATGTATTTTTATGTTGACTATTTTAAATCATAACTTGAGACAAAAAGTCGTCTTCATATTTCCCTGTAATTACACACCTGGGGTAGCACTTCTTAGAAGATGCATAGAATCTTCCGGAACTCCTCCACAAAGTTCACCCGCACTATTGTTTGCTCGGATAGTTGCAGTTGCCTGGCGTAAACATTTTAATAAAAAATAATGTATATCTATCTATATATAAATTTGGCTTGTCTGTCTGTTTGTCTGTTTGTTTTTTTGTTTGTCTGTTTGTATCCAATAAACGTCAAAATGGCTGAACCGATCTGGCCCAAATTTTTTGTGGGACATCACGTCACCACAGGGAAGGTTTATCAATTATCAAAATTTCAAATATTTGTCTCCATCAAAATTCTATCTTCATTAAATTTTTGAAAATTTTGAAAATCAACGAAATTTTTCGTGAAAATCCGCGAATTATTTTTGTTTTGTTTTACGATGTACACAAAGAGAACAATTAATTTAGAAGATGGGCGCGAAGCGCCCTATAAGGCTAGTATATATATGCTTTGCTTGTCTGTCTGTGTATTTGTAACCGATAAACTTCAAAACAGCGAAACCGATCAGGCCCAATGTTTGTGTCGGACCTCACATGGCCCCAGGGAATGGTTATGAAACATCAAAATTGGAAGATAAAAATTCCTTTAAAAAAGTTGGAATTTCTATTTTTTTAAATGCACCAATTTGAACTGAAAAATCCGCCAAAATTTGAAAATAATCCAAATTGGCCAATTTTCAAAGCAAATTATTCACTGGAAAAGAGGCACAAAACACCCTAAAAGGCTAGTTATGTAAAAGTTATTAATGGAATATTCTAAAAAATCCTTATTATAAAATCCGTGCAATTTTAAATGAACCTACATATAAAAGTTACACTTCCGATTCACAACAGTACTCATTAAACGCTTTCCAAATCAAAAAGGGAAGATTTGCCTGTTTTTTCCCTTGAAAATTTCTTATTTTTTATTTCTGTTCACTAGTTACTTCCATCACTCCTGTACGCCGAGTCCATTAGCGCCTGAACCAATAAGGGTTCAGTCATGTTTTTGTTGTCTATTCTGAACCAATAGAAATAGTATGGTGGTATCTACCTTTCTTTCTATCATATTATCCAATCAGAGATATGAGTTCTTCAATCGGCGCTATCAGTAAATGAAAATATTTACTTCTACTGAGTACTGAAACTATAGTGACATATTTACACACCATAGAAATAAAAAATTTACAGAAATAAAAAACAACAATATCTTTTCCACTGCTGCTTAAAATTCCCTTTTAAGACTAAAAAAAAATAAGATAAGAAGTTTAAGTTTATCGGTATGCAGCATCTAAAATCTACGAAGTGCGAAGGAAGAGTCTGCTGTGTCATATTTTTATCTATTATGTCGCATTAAAAATGTCCATCCCAGGTATTTCTACTTACATTAAAATATTTCTCGATTAGTGTCTCATATCCACCAATTTTCTCATGACTGAACGCTGAAAATATACTTTATGATCAAAATATATTTTTAAAGATAATGTAAGTTCAAGAGACCCTCCATTAAACACGATTTACAAAGGTACCTCTAAAACCTTTATATGATCAATAATAGGGAAGATATCCTCATTTGTATAGTGTTTAATTCTTACATGGATATATATACATTGGTAGTTGGTCTTAATACGGATAGTTCAGCTACTGGTTTAAATTATAGGGTTACCCACAAAAATGAGATTGTAAAGACGACCTGAAAATATGACGTCATCAAGTATAAATTAAGGCTTGAAGGAATCATGAATATAAGGAAACAGAAGGTAAAAATTCCGTACAGTCCTCTTTTAGATTTTCTCTCTAATCATAATTTTTTTATCTCTTAACTAGCTGAAGTGCCTGTGGAATTTGTTAAAAATCAAATTTTAAAAAAATGTCGATTTTTGAGAAAATTTTTGTTTAGTCTTTGGTGACCCTGGGGTACTCAAGGGTTCCAACAAAAAAATGTAGCCCATTTGGTCCAGCCGTTTGGCCAGCTATAGCTGATATATAAATAAATTTACATGTGTACATACACATGTACATACATGAGCGAAGAGCTTTATTATATAGAAATATTGTATTGGTGTACCTAAAGCTGCTAGAATAATTGCTCCTATCAACATCAGAATAGTCTGTATAAAATCTGTCCAAATAACAGCCGTGAGACCACCTTTCAATAAACTTTGTCATAATTTTGCATCAATTTTAACTATTTTATGCAGTAAAATGTAAATATGGATACTGACAAGGATTTTTTTATCTCCTGTTGTCAATCTCAAACTATTTCATTTTGATTTATTAATTTTACTTACCTATTTCAGTTATAATATTATGTGATATTATTGATATAATAATTCCATCAATATTAATATTATTAATAATAGTTCTAAGAATATAGGATAATCATGTTCATTCGAAGAAAAAAATCAAATTGATTTTACAGTTTAAATCATGTCCTTTGCAATCCATTATATTGAAATAGAATTACATAGATGTCAAATCTATATCATAAATTAAATATATTAAGACTGTACAGGTAGTCGTTAAAAAATAGCTTAGTTTGAATTAAGCTAAAACATATATATAACATAAAACTGTATTTTTTATGTCTACAAAATATATTTATGACATAAAACTGTATTTTTTATATCTACAAAATTTTTTTTGAATTTCCATATTGGCCTGCCAAAATAATACTAGAAGAATATTTGGTATTAGGCTTATTTAATTAATATTTAGATATTTTTTTTCTTCAAATATTTTATAAAAAGTCAATTGACAAAGTTTCCTGCCACTGTGAAAAGGCAGGCAATTGCCAGTAGAATAAGGATAGATATATAAATTGCAGCATCTCCTAAAACAGATATATAAATTGCAGCATCTTAATAAATAATGCCCCTGCATATAAATCTGCCTAAAAAATAAAAAATAAAAAATTAAAAAATTAAAATAAAAAAATTACCAAAATAGAAACAAAGATAGTTTGATCTGAACAAATTTGCCAACTGATGGTGCATATTTTTGATATTTCAAACTTGAATTTTTGATTTATCAGAGCTCTCAGTTTGAAAAGAATTAGAAGGCTTAAATTTGTGGCAATTGATCAGCTGCAGACTTCAGTTTTACAATATTCTAATAATTATTCTAATATTCTATTTAAATAAAAACTCACAGATATTTGAGTGAAAACTTATAGATATTTAATTAAAAACTTACAGATATTTGAGTGAAAAATTATAGATATTTCAGTGAAAACTTAAAGATATTTCAGTAAAAACTTACAGATATTTGAGTGAAAACTTATAGAAATGTCAGTGAAAACTTACAGATATTTGAGTGAAAACTTACAAATATTTGAGTGAAAACTTATAGATATTTCAGTGAAAACTTACAGATATTTCAGTGAAAACTTACAGATATTTCAGTGAAAACTTACAGATATTTCAGTGAAAACTTACAGATATTTGAGTGGAAACTTACAGATATTTGAGTGAAAACTTATAGATATTTGAGTGAAGACTTACAGATATTTCAGTGAAAACTTACAGATATTTGAGTTAAAACTTACAGATATTTTAGTGAAAACTTACAGATATTTGAGTGAAAACTTACAGATATTTTTGTGAAAACTTACAGATATTTGAGTGAAAACTTACAGATATTTTAATGAAAACTTACAGATATTTTAATGAAAACTTACAGATATTTTTGTGAAAACGTAAAGGAGAAGTGCAAGGACTGATAAGTATACTCTGATCCTCTGTCCTCCAAATCTTAATCTGAAATTATAAATTAATTGATAAAAATTTGCAATTGAGTTGAAATTCGGTATTCTTCGTTTTAAAACTCTCTACAAGCTCTTCAGTACAATACAGAACAGTACATACCTGAGATATTCCGGCATTGTGTACACACCACTAGACATGTACACTGGTACAAAACACCAGCCCAGAAATATTATATAATATATTGCCTGAAAAAGAAGAAATATGATTTCATATATTTTTGATAAAGAACTTTATAACTAACTAAATTTACATTTAATTAAATAATAATTCATGTCTTTCAAAATTTGGAAATCAGTCTCACTAAAAAAAAACCTTCAAGATTTAAAAACTGTATGCACCTTGAACTTTAATGACGTTTAAAGGGGGGTTACAATCTGTAATCAAAAATAGACTCAGAGGTATTGTTAATTTCAAAATAAAAAATTAGCCCTCATTTAAAATATTTGCCCCCATTTCTTTTAAATTTGTCAATCCCAAATGGGATTGAAAAAGGAATTATATGGACCCCTGATAAAATGTTGTTTTACTTAGTTAGTTAGTTATTGTTAAATATATTGTTCTAAAATACATTTTTATCTATTTATATTAATCACTCTCCACTAAACGCTTCTATATATTCGGTAATTGTACTGAAAATTAATGCAGAAACACCGGAAGCTTAGTTGAGGATGTATCATAACTTTGCAACCCAATGTCGGAGACCTTAGATATTTCAAACTGTGAATACTGTAGATCAATAATATTGATTTGAAATAACAATTCGGTATATTTACACAAAGATCGAATCCTACAATACTAGCGATTTCAAGATCGATTATATTTACACAAAGATCGAATCCTACAATATCAGCGTTTACAAGTTCAATTATATTTACACAATGGTCGAATCCTACAATACTAGCGATTACAACATCGATTACATATACACATAGATCGAATCCTACAATATCAGCGTTTACAAGATCGATTGAATTCATACAATGATCGAATCCGACAAAACCAACGCGATTATAAAATTGATTACAAGAACATTAAGATTGGAACCGACAAGACCAACTATTACAAGATCAATTTTACTTCAACACGATTAGTTGGAAGCCGGCAATACTGGAATGACATGGTCGAATATTCTTAAACTTTATTCGAAGCGGAGAATAATAACAAAGCTAAAAAGCTCGATTATACTTACACTAAGCTCGAAGCCGGCAATACCGATGCCCGAGGCAGCGCCGGAACCGGCGAGACCGATAAAATGACCGGATCCAATATTACTCGCAAACAAGGAAGCTCCTACCTAAAACACAGATCGATTATGTCACTTTAATAAAAACAATCTTTGAAATAAAGTTTATGGTTTCTTTAATATTGCAAAAGTTGAACACCAACGGGTCTAAAAGTTAAAAACTGAAAAAGAAATATTTAAAATTTGAAAACTGAAAGAGGAATATTCAAAAGTTGAAAACTGAAAAAGGAATATTCAAAAGTTGAAAACTGAAAAAGGAATATTCAAAAGTTGAAAACTGAAAAAGGAATATTAAAAAGTTGAAAACTGAAAAAGGAATATTTAGAAGTTGAAAACTGAAAAAGGAATATTTAAAAATAGAACTTACAAGGACCCAATTCATAGATCTTGAGGCTAAAAAATATCCTCCAACACTGTCTCTTTTTGACCTCCAGGATGACTTAAAAAAATAATAATAACAAAAGCTTTGATTTAACTTTTTTACTTTTTTTCTATATTTTTTTGATATATTGGATTAGATGATTGATGACATAACATGTTTTTTTGTCGGTATTTTTACTAATTCTGGTTTGTTTAAGGTTATGTTCAAGGTTTTTCAACATTAGCAAATGTTTTTATCTCAAATTTTCAAGGACGTTTTAACAAAAGTGCGCACTCGATTCTCATTTTTTGGAATAATGTGCTAATCAAGTTTTTTGTGTCACCCTCACGAACATATTTTTAATTTTTGTGGCAAACATATTTATAATTACTAATTTTTAGACGTCAACAAGTTTTAAGAAGATATTTTCAAAACGCAGACAAGAATAGTTTATTAATCATTTGAGTCTAACAATCAGGTTATGTGTACCAAAAATCAACGACTAGAACTTAGAAATTTAAAGTTTAATTTTAATAAATATAAGTGGAGAGGTGTTAAATGCATTCAGTAATTAATATTTTTATTATTAGGTTTCTCATTTTCGTACAATGTTTCTTAACTTTAAGATATGTTCTTTTAAAAGAACGGAGAGAATCCCTTTTCCCTCCCCAGCCGTTTAGGGTTAAAGAAACTTATGCAATGTTAGGTAAATATTTAATTTTGAGAAAATAATCATAAAATATCCGTATTGTTAAACGATCGGTCTCTGTATTCCGATTCATTAAACCTTGATCAATAATCTCCAGATTTTCTTTTATTAAAGATAATAATGATTAAAAAGCTTGTTCGTCTGATTGCACCAATTACCCCTTCACACTCCACTAAACCCAACTATATTTCTTTGGTTAGAGTTCTGCAAATTACTACAGTACACACCCATAGCTTGGTTGAGGGCATGGTTATAATGCAAGGAATGTTTTTTAAGAGGTGTACGCATCTTTTGTACTGCAGTGTACTGTATCTGGTCGGTAATGTAAACACATGACGGATGTCTAAGCCTGACAAGGGATCCAGCTTTCGCATAAAAAATCAATGAAATATTCTGGTCATAAGAAAAATATTATATAAAATATCAAAATTATCAAAATTTAATGCTTGTAACCTCCTCGGATATTGAACGAACACTGAAGCACCTATTCATTTTTACAAATTCCGCCCAGAGAGAACTGTTTTCAATATATATATAAACGCAGAGTATACGCAACTGTAATTAACTTTCCTTGCCTTATAACCTTGGTTGAGGGTGCCTCCACTATGTCTCTAGTAAAATTTACCTCTTAAGGCTAAAATGCTGGATACCCTCTATGAAAATAATTGTAGCGTTTTTGCTGGAAAAAAACTAAATGTGTATTTTACAATACAATTGAATCTTTTCTTTAAACTCAAATTTTTGCTTCCAAATTCCTTTGCAACTTATTGTGTAAATCTTTTATATTTTAAAATTTAGAGTAGGGTATATCCTTACCCAGAGTCCAATGAAGAGTAGGTTATATTCTTACCCAGAGTCCAATGAAGAGCACAAACGAAAAATAAACAACAATCACAACATAGTCCCAGGTTTCTAGGGTCTGATCTCCTGTTCCATTCTCCATATTGCCAGTCTCCATATTGCCAGTCTCCATATTGCCTAAAGAAAAGTAAATTTTGTTTAGATAAGAGAAATCGAAAACAGTAATATGCAATACTAGCTAAAGTGCCCGGAGTTGCCCGTGGAATTTTAGGAACACTTCGATTTATAAATTTCATCCAATTTGGTCTAGACATTAATCCAGCTATAGCTAATATATATATATATATATATGGAGCAGTGGTTAGCGTGTTTGATTCATAATCTAAGGATTCATGGTTCAAGCCCCGTCAACTGCAAAATCAAATCTGATGAATAGAGCCATACTGATGAGTCCTAATAGGACGAAATAGTTTGTCTATGGATATATATATATATATGAGCCAAGTATTTGGTTTAGCCGTTTATCCAGCTATAGCTAACATATAAATACATAGAAATATATGAGCCAAGTATTTGGTTTAGCCGTTTATCCAGCTATAGCTAACATATAAATACATAGAAATATATGAGCCAAGTATTTGGTTTAGCCGTTTATCCAGCTATAGCTAACATATAAATACATAGAAATATATGAGCCAAGTATTTGGTTTAGCCGTTTATCCAGCTATAGCAAACATATAAATACATAGAAATATATGAGCCAAGTATTTGGTTTAGCCGTTTATCCAGCTATAGCAAACATATAAATAATTTTACATATAATTATATATTATTATATTTGGTTATTTTGATAATTTTGGTCATTCTGCAGGCAATATTTTTTTAGTAGAACATAAAAAAACTTGTGATTGAAAAAGACAGAGGTAATTATTTTTTTATTTTAAAAAATCTGGTTAGTAACGCGTGGTATTAATTTTACTGGTTTAGTTTGAATTATGAATTTTGCTTTGAAAGAAATGGATTTATCTGTTTCTCTAAATTTAGGATTAATTAGAATTTCTGTAAAAAAAATTAAAAATCATGCCATTAAAACCCTGTACTTTCAAATTAGATTTCAATTTTTAAATAAATATCTACGCGCCACCGTTATGAACGAGGTTACAGCTTGCATTTATGATTTTTTTTAAATTGGAGAACTAAAAGTTTTCCAATCATTTGAATACAGATATAATCTCTAGAAAATGAAGATATAATCTTTAGAAAATAAAGATATAATCTCTAGAAAATGAAGATATAAACTCTAGAAAATGAAGATATAAAATCTAGAAAATGAAGATATAATCTCTAGAAAATGAAGATATAATCTCTAGAAAATGAAAATATAATCTCAGAAAATACAGATATAATCTCTGAAAAATTCAGCTAGAAAATGCAGATATAATCTCTATAAAGTGAAGATATAATCTCTAGAAAATACAGATATAAGCTCTAGAAAATGCAGATATAATCTCTATAGAAAATGTAGATATAATCTGAAGAAAATGCAGATATATATAATCTCTATCCGTAAAGGAATTGAGTTTTTGCCACAAACTCTGATTTTCTAATTTCAATATCGTTGCAACACAATGACGTAGACCTTTAATATTTCAAACTATGAATGCTATTAGATCAAATAATGTAAGTCTGAAATATCAAAGGTTTACATCAAAGGTTGAAAAGATATAGGTTTTACAAAAACTGAATTTGTGGCAAAGACTCAATTCCTTTGAATGAAATGAAGATACAAGGTTAATTCGAAGATTCACAACACAAAGGTTCTGACTTCTGCTTCTAGTAAATGCTTTTTCCAGAAATCATGTTTCCAGCAATATTATCTGAAACCTGTGATTTTTCCATCAATATTTGACTTTTATTTTGTAATAATATTAGTAAAAAATATAAACATATTATATGATAAATGAATACAAGAGGGCCTACTTAATTCACCCCTGTTTTACATATAGTTTTGAAAATAGTAAAACATTCTGATAAAGTTTATAACGAGTGACGCATATAGTTTCCATAGCTGTGTCGGTCGAAAAATGAAAGGGGGTATAGCTTAAGGCGAAAAAAAAATCGCTTTTTATCGCTTCTAATCTTGCTTCTAGTCCTTTTCAACTAGAAGAGTTTGTAAATTATTGAATAATGAAGATTGAATAAGAGGGTTGAATAGAATGGGTATTGTACTCTATAAGAATATGTATAATAGAACAAGACAATTATACTGCCTAAATCAAAGTATTAAATCAAGCAGTTATAGGACACTGGGATATAGTTTAAGACTGAATTTTATTTACATTCCAAAATTGGAAAAAGATTTTCTTTTTCTGAAAATGCATGCATTATTTCGAATATTAATTTTTGCAACAGCCAATTAACTTTTGAACAATTTAATCGCTTAAAAAGTTATAAATATATGTTTATCAATAAATTTAGTACGTGTAATGATGTCCATATAGTTCTTTATGAAAGGATTCGCTGGATTAGTCAGCTTTTTTTCTCTAAAACTTTGTTTAAAAACATGCAATTTAATCCACTAAAAAGTTACATACTTTTATCAACAATGGTGTCCCTTAGTTCCATAGAGAATTCTCTATGCTTAGTTCTGTACAGGAAGGATCTAGCTTAAAAACTCAACTTTGAGGTTATATCAAGCACGCAGAAAAAAGACTCGAGAAACTAGGAATCTAAAATTAAAATGGTAAAACGGGTTTGAAGGATCGAAAAAAATGTTAAAGAAAATATGTAAATGATTAATGCTTCACAAACAGATATGTGGTTTTTCCAATTAACTCTTTATATACTAAATATTCCACAACGTAGAATACAGTAGGTCTGGCCGGACACATTCAAAATATTTTAAATCGTTGCACGTTTTAGAACGAGGGCCTTCAGCTGGATCATTGTTTGATATTCGTTCTTTTCAAAATCGTTCAGTATTGTCTTTAACGGAAAATCGTTAATTGCAAAAACGATCGTCCCCCTTTAACAACGCCCAGTCCTAATGCACAGCAAGACTTGATACCCGGGCACGTAAATGAACGATATTTTGCATGAAAATGTTTTAAATATCCCAAATCTCAAATCATAGGTTTGTAAAGTTGGTGAAATGGCGGTAAAAAATCTAACATACTATGAAAAATCAACTATATACAACTGCGGCGAAAGATAATCGATGACCATAGGTTGTAATATCTGAATGATTTGTTTGAAATTAAATAAATTTTTTACGGCCTAAGTAGTATGTTGCATCTTTCTGAATTTGTATGGACATTACGCTCTTCGGTATTTGTCGTTTTTAACAATTTTCTCCTTATAGACGCAACAGATAGAAGTAAGATTAGTAGCGATCAAAAGCGCTTTTTTTATCGCATTTTTGCGAACACTCCCTTTAAGTAAAAAAAATTAAGGAAACAGAAATTATGAATTTGAAAATTGTGGTGTTAAACTTTGATACTTCAAATTTTGACTACTTCTAGTCGAATGCAGATGATTGAAATATCAAAGGTCTCTGACCACTGACATAAAGAAATCATTGAAATTTGTCAACAAATTTTTAGACAGCCTGGACGTGTCGCAAAACCTTGGCATTTGGTTTTACTTCACCAACTCATTGATACTTTTTTTGTAGCCCTATAAACAGATACATTTTAAAAATTCTACGCGTCTGTTTCTGTCTTAAGTGTACAATGAGTAATTGGTAACATACTGCTCGAATTTTGTGTGAGATCGTGCACATCTTGATTTGCAGTGTGCCATCATGCATCAGGTTGCAAAATAGAGTTTTAGGCAAGTAATCAGTTCCTTTTTAAGCATTACGTGGAATCTCATAGATATCTAATTTATACAGTTTACTCCTTTATTCAACCTTTTACTGAGAATTTGTTCCGCAAAATTGCGTAAAACAGAATAACGCAAAAGCGGAATAGAGCAATTTTGCACGAAATGAAGTTTGCGAATGATTGCGCACAGTGTTATTTTTTCGCGCCAAAATGTAGCGCAACGAAAGCAAAAATTTGCGTTTTCTTTCGCAAAATTGCGCAAAAGTTTTGCGAATAGAAACCCTAAGCTCTGGTCGTCGGCAGAATATTATATAAATCAAATTTTATCTATTTTTATGATACATAACCATGTTTTAATTTTACCAACTTTTTGGTTCCACGTACATCCAAAAATATTTATACAGCTTCATAAATGTCATCCTTTTTAGTTAAAAATATTGACTCAAAACCAACGAGGTTCTAGTATATAGAGTGATGATGTACGCTAATCCTTTACTTATTGTATAGGCCAATTTTCACTTCACTTCCAAAGGTCAATCTGTATATTACAGTACTCAGGGGTGATTTATGAAAATATTTAAATGGAAAATTTGTTTTCCATGAAACTTTTAAAATCCCTTATCGCGTGAAGGATTCCATTTTCACAGGAAGACGTACATTTATAGCCTTTTACAGAGCAATATTTCATCGTTAATAAACTGTTCTGAGAAAACTGAGTAAAAATTCAAGATACAAAACCTCCCCATACACTTCTACTCCGAAAGCGTAAGCGTACTGCATATTTGATATTTGTACTGTATGAAATTAGATAAATTGCGGAAAAATAGTATTATAATAAACGTAAGGAGAAAAAAATGTACTGTGACCAGTCCTAGAATGATACGTATTAATAAAACAAGGAAAACATGTGTAGTCGGAAAAGTTAATAATCAGTAATTGAGTTAACCCAAACAAGTTGTCAATACCAGATCTTCTTATTTTTCACCAAGAAATGAGAAAATGTTAATTCCAAGATAAACGTGATCTTAAAAATTAATTTAAATTTACAACCACCTTATTTCAGGTTGGTCTTCTTTTTTCAGTTCGGAATGGGAAAATGACATTTTAGGAATTCAAAATAACATTTTAAAACTTCAAAACTCGTTAAAAATATTAGAAATATACAGTTTTATCTATTATTTTTTGTAAGTTGGATGCAATTTTAAGCAGAAAACTTGACGAAAATCGGCGTTTTGCTGAAACACATCGTTCTTTATATTTTCTCTGCCATGCGTAAATGAAATCTTTCGTTAATTTTCAAAAACTTGCCTTACGTTCCTTAACTTAAAGTTGCCCAGTCGTGTACCCGTGTACTGTACTGTAATGTGAAAATAATATCAAATGTTTTAAACTTAAAAGTTTTATAAATATATGTTCTAAACATTGAAAACTTATGTTGACTGATAATAAAAGCATAATAAAATAAACGATAAGAAAATTGGAAGAAAAATATTTAAGATATAAAACCAGCGTCCACCCCAATTTTCTTTAACCGATGTTTATTCTAAGACACTTTTATTTAAAATAAAAACCTATGAAAAAACAGAAAGGAATGAAGGAATATGATTAAACTGCGCCTATGCATAAATGAATTTGTGCTACCTTCTGTTTATTTAGTTCTAAATAGTACAAACGCGCTTTGCTTTGTTCAAAATCTTGATCATAAATCACAAAAATTCCGGTAATTAAAGAATTTTATTCTAGAAAATTACAATTCCCACTCTTTTATCCTAATGATTATTGCTTATTGGTTGTAATATTTTAATGATTTGTTTGGAACTAAATTGATTTTTTTACGATCCGAGTTGAATGTTGCAACTTTATGAATTTGTATGGATGCTACGTTCTTCGGTATAAGTCGTCTTTAACAATTTTCTCCTTATACACACATCAGATAGAAGTAAGATTAGTAGTGATCAAAAGCGCTTATTTTTCGCCGTAAGCCTATACCCCCTTTCTTTTTTTGCTCACTCCCTTTGAGAGCAAAGTTTTGATGAGAAAGTGTACATGTTCTCACGACCCAAACTTGAATGGCATTATTCAAATTCCTCCGTTTAAACAACAATTTTAAACAAGAAAGTTCTAGTTTTGAACTGAACATATCTAGGGCTACACAAAAATGTGAGTGAAAAAGTATTGTAAAACCAAATGCCAAGGGATTCCGAAACTTCAAATTCAATTAGGTATTCAATTCAATGCCACTTTTTCTAGCTCTCTATATCTCTGTGTCTGGGTGTTCGGTCGTCTGTCCGTTTGTATCCAATAATCGTCTAAACGACTTAACCGATTGACCCAAATTTAATGTGGGACCTCACATGACGCCAAGGAAGGTTTATGCAGATGCTCAGAATTACAAAAATTTGTCTCTAAAAATATTAGATTTTCGTAAAGTTTTGAAAATCCATAAACAAAAATTGTTAATTCGCAAAAAAAATTTTTTTTCAAAGAAGAGAAAATTCTGAAAGTTTGACCAGCTATTAAGAGCTGAAATAAAAGGTGGGGGTGCGCCCTGATACGCCCTGATATTAAATATAAATATCCTAGATAAATATGCATTTTTTAGGCTGCCATTATTACAGCGTGACGGATGATATAATTGAACAAAACATAACATGGTTTCTGTGCTATCATGGTACTGGTACAGATATTATTAAACTCTATATAGATAGGTTGCCCCCCAAAAAAACAAGAACTAAGATTAAAAAAAGACATAAATGTTTTTTTTTTAAAATTACAGATCACATTAAGGAAAGGTAACGATTCATTCATTCTGTATTTTTTCCTCATGTTTTTTTTGGGATATCCTGTATCTGGTTGTTTTTTAAGATATACTAACAGAAAAAATCATGGGATAATGTTCAATTTGCGCTTTAAAATCGAAACTTCATGAAATTGATTCAAATGTCAATTTTTGTTTCAAATTATTTTCTTGTGATTTAGGAAAGATTTTTTGACAATTCCTGAAAGAATCCCTATCGCAAAAAAGCTGAAAGAACACAAGAGACTTGTTAATGAGTATGGTAATGCAAAGTTCGCACTGTTTCCTTTGAATATTATGAAAGTAGGTTTATTTTATCAGGCATATTGCACTGCACTTTAATGTTTATTTTTGAAAAAGAAGTTTAAACTATTTTAAAGGGACTGTAAGCGTAATTTCAAGGGACCCACCATGACAATCCCAGATTTCAATAGCTTTGTCTGATAAAGTATCAATTAGATATCCATGTTTTATTCCTTTAAACTGTTTATTTTCATCTACGGCTTCTCTGCGAAAGTGACTTGCACACTTTTTGCGTATAGGAAGCAATGAGTCAGAAAACCGACGGTATCAGGCCACCACATTTTTTAATCAGATTAAGGTTTAAAGTTACAGTTGTGAATCTGGCATTTCCATCTTTACATTAATGCTTACAGTCCCTTTAAGTTCAAAGTTCAAAATCCCATGTTTAAGAAAATTCACAACAATAGTTAGAAATGAACTGAAGGGGCATTTTCTTGCTTTGACAGGGATTTCCTGTAGCTTACACTCTGTAATCTAGTAATTCACAAAATTGCGGGAAACCAGTTTTAGAAACCAATTCATGCTTTGCTTTCATGATCCTGGTTCAAGAGCAATGTTAGTTTTTTATGCAATCAGTTAACTGCATTGTTTACTATATATTAACAACTACTAGGACTGCACTGAATTCATACCTCTAACTGCCTGACTGCTTGATTACACAATACACTGCCTAGGAACCATTCTAGGCGCCCTGCTCGAATATACTACTTACATGTTATAGGTATGTCCCTCCTTCAAGGGGTGAACAGGGTTTCCTTTTCAGTTTGCTTAATACAGGGTTTTCCTTTACAGTTTTTAGTATACAGGGTTTTTTTTATCAGCAAATACAATACAGGGTTTCCTTTACAGTTGGTAAAACGCAGGGTTTCCTTTATCAGTGGACATAATACAAGGTTTCCTTTACAGTTTGTCTATAATGCAGGGTTTCCTTTACATTTTGTAGAACACAGGGGTTTTTTTATTAGTGAACATAATACAAGGTTTGTTTTACAGTGGGTAGAATGCAGGGTTTCCTTTATTAGTGAATATAATACAGGGTTTGTTTTACAGTGGGTAGAATGCAGGGTTTTCTTTATTATTGGACATAATAATACAAAATACATGGTTACCTTTACAGTTTTCAGAATACAGGGTTTCCTTTACAGTTGGTAGAGCACAGGGTTTCCTTTATTAGTGGACATAATACATGGTTTCCTTTACAGTTTGTAGAATAAAGGGTTTCCCTTTGCAGTTAGTAGAGCACACGGTTTCCTTTATTATTAAACATAATACATGGTTTCCTTTACAGTTTGTAGAATACAGGATTTCCTTTACAGTTTGTAGAGAACAAGGTTTCCTTTATTACTGTACATAATAATACAAAATACATGGTTTCCTTTACAGTTTATAGAATACAGCGTTTCCTTGATTAATGGACTTGACTCAGAGTGTCCTTTATTGGTGGACATAATAGAGGGCTTCCTTTACAGTTTGTAGAATAAAGGGTTTTCTTTGCAGTTGGTAAAGCACAGGATTTTCTTTATTATTGGACATAAGTTATAATACAGGGGTTCCTTTACAGCTTGTAGAAAACAGTGTTTCCATTACTAGTTAACAAAATACATGGTTTTCTTTATTAGTGGACATATTACTGGTTTCCTTTATTACTGTACATAATAATACAAAATACATGGTTTCTTTTACAGTTTATAGAATACAGCGTTTCCTTGATTAATGGACTTGACTCAGAGTTTCCTTTATTGGTAGACATAATAAGTACGTGGTTTCTTTTATTAGTAGACATGATGCGGAGTTTCCTAATTATTGATGGACATAATAGAGGGCTTCCTTTACAGTTTGTAGAAAACAGGGTTTCCTTTACAGTTTGAAGAATACAGGGTTTCGATTACAGTCTGTAGAATGTAGTTTTTCCTTTATAGTTTGAAGAATACAGGGGTTCCTTTACAGTTTGTAGAATACAGGGTTTCCTTTACATTTGCTATACGGGGTTTCGTTTACAGTTGACAAAATTCAAGGATTCCTGAAGAGTTTGTAGAATATAGGGTTTCCTGTATTAGTTGACATAAAGCAAGGTTAAAACAAGTTATCTTGATACAGGGATTACCAATGTTATCATGATACAGGGATTACCAAAGTTATCATAATACAGGGATTATTAAAGTTATCTTGATACAGGGATTACTAAAGTTATATTAATACAGGGATTACTAAAGTTATCTTAATACAGGGATTAGCAAAGTTATCATGATACAGGAATTAACAAAGTTATCATGATACAGGGATTACCAAAGTTATCATAATACAGGGATTACCAAAGTTATCATAATACAGGGATTACCAAAGTTATCATAATACTGGGATTACCAAAGTTATCTTGATACAGGAATTAACAAAGTTATCATGATACAGGGATTACCAAAGTTATCATAATACAGGGATTACCAAAGTTATCATGATACAGGGATTACCAAAGTTATCATGATACAGGGATTAACAAAGTTATCATGTTACAGGGATTACCAAAGTTATCATAATACAGGGATTACCAAAGTTATCATGTTACAGGGATTACCAAAGTTATCATAATGCAGGGATTACTAAAGTTATCATAATACAGGGATTACCAAAGTTATCATGATACAGGGATTACCAAAGTTATCATGATACTGGGATTACCAAAGTTATCAGGATACAGGGATTACCAAAGTTAGCATGATAAAGGGATCACCAAAGTTATTAAGATTGCAGGAATTAGCAAAGCTAACATGATATAGTGATTACCAAGGTTATCATGACATAGGGATTACCAAAGTTATCATGATACAGGGATTACCAAAGTTATCATGATACAGGGATTACTAAAGTTATCTTAATACAGGGATTACCAAAGTTATCATGATACAGGGATTACCAAAGTTATCATGATACAGGGATTATCAAAGTTATCATAATACAGGGATTACCAAAGTTATCATGATACAGGGATTACCAAAATTATCATGATACAGGGATTATCAAAGTTATCATGTTACAGGGATTACCAAAGTTATCATAATAGAGGGATTACCAAAGTTATCATGTTACAGGGATTACCAAAGTTATCATAATGCAGGGATTACTAAAGTTATCATAATACAAGGATTACTAAAGTTATCTTAATACAGGGATTACCAAAGTTATCATGATACTGGGATTACCAATGTTATCATGATACAGGGATTACCAAAGTTATCTTGATACAGGGATTACCAAAGTTATCATGATACAGCGATTTCTAGAGACACACTTTTTTCCAAGTTGTGTTAAAGTACGAAGTTTTTATACTTGTTTAGGTGTTTATTTACAGTTTCCAATTATATATCTATCTATCTACCTTGTTTTTCAACCTACAGAAATAGAACTAAGAACACGGTAAACATTTTAAATCCATCAACAATCAAAAAAATATTTTTTACAATATTCACATAATCTAAAAAACTATTTTTAGAAAATAGGAGAAAAAAAAGAAAAAGAAATCAACTTTAAATCGTTTTTATTTGGTGGAATATTAAAGTGAATTTCAAAAACTGGTTTTGACCATGGAACAGTGTTTTGTGAATATTTTTTACATATGTTGTTATTGAAGAGTGTTTATGTTGATGATTGATGGATAATCTTTAAACAATCTACCAGCTATATAGAGTATATAAACATCAAGAAACAAAAACATACTTCAGACCCTGGTTACCCTTCCAGTATACAACAGCTATCAAACCAATAGTATTTTTGGGAAAAGGCAGATTGATAAAGGACCAATATGAACATCTATCTCTCTGTAGGCATAACTTAACCCTATAAAGTCAAGGGGGGGGTCTCAAAATATGAATAGCCTGAGGCGCCCCCCCCCCACCAGAAAAGACCCTTAGAGTATGTAACACGTGTTATATTTCTACATCCATTTTTCAAGGGCTTTAAAAAAATAGCTTTTTTGAGCTGTATCTTTAGTCACTAAAAAGCTATGGGCTATTTTGGATTTTTAAACATGGACCGGTTATTTACCGTCCTGTACTGTAACCCACCCTAAACATTAAAAAAATTACAAACAATCCTTTAAATTACCATTCTTTAAATAAATACAGTTATATGGTGATAGCTACAAATTTATCACTTAAAAAAAATTTTTTAAGACAATCGTCTCAACTCTGAAGAAACAGATTAAAGATGAAAAAGTGTTGACTTCTGGTTAAAATAAATTTTTTTTTTATTTTAAAGTTCGAATTTGTATTTTTTTAACAAGATTCTAACAAGAATTACGATAATTTAAAATTGTAAACTTAGCATTAGTTAGATTCTAAATTTTAATGTTTCTCCACAAATATAGAGTAATTAACAGAAGGTCACGTTACATAACGTTAACGTTGTTAAAATTACGTTGTATGACGTCGAGTATAATATCATTATTCTGGGAATTTTATTCTAAAAAACATATGATAAAGTAAGAAAAGAGATTTTTTCCCCCAAGACATGATCGGGTTGTAACGATCAAATTTCGGAGTTTTCTTTTGCGAAAGTTTGTTGTTGAAGGGGTTGGAATCTCCCAGCACATTCATCAGTCCAAGATTCATTTATTCTGGGATGAAGAAGGTTGACTAAAATCCAGTCACCTAAGTGCTGCTTAGGCCTGAGAATATCAAAGTGCAGGAATTCTTCTGAAATACTGAAATGAGAAATTATGATAAATGATAATAAGATGAAGATGATGATGATGGTTTTGGTGTTAGTATCTCTCCTAGAGTTTCAGAGCACACTCAGCTCTCCTGCACCCCTTCCAACTCTTTGCGATAGAGAGGTAGAATATTATATAGTTGGACTTTTAAAAAGTAAAAATTAGGCTTGATTTGAACTTTTAACTGTGTCTCTATATCTGCTGCATTGTGCCTTCTTAAATCATCAAACAATTAAATACAAAATTTTCGTGGATCTATTGATTTTTTTCGTGGAATTTGAAAAATTCACATTTTTAAGGAACATTTTTCAATTCAGACCATCCATGAACCTTCCCTGGGGTCAAGTTAGTTACGTTCCACACAAATGTGGGCCCTATCGGTTTAGGTGTTCTGACGTTTATTGGATACGAACGTACAAACAAGCATTTTGGGCGTTTTGCGCCCATTTACTATCTCAACTATTAATTGTGGCTCTATTTGTAAGCATCTTCTCTTGGTACCTCAATAAAAGTAATAAGAACAAAATTTTGCCAGATTTAATATTTTTTTGTGGGGTTTCAAAAATTTTCAAAAAAACCAAAAATTCTGAAATTCTGAGCATCTATAAACCTTCCCTGGGGTCATGTCAGGTTCCGCACAAAAGTTAGGCCCGATCGGTTCAGCCGTTTTGACGTTTATTGGATACAAACGGACAAACAGACCGACAAGCAAACTAAATATATATAGAATTAGAATTTAGGCCTTGGTTAGTCTTTAAGATGTATCAAAAAATAAAGGTATTAAATAGATTATCAAGTACAATAGGTGGCAACAGAGAAATGAACAACTTATACATGACATCACAAGTGTCAAATATAACAAGGAAAACGAAATTTTCTCAATAAGTTGACATGTTTTCAAAGATTAAATAAAAAAGTGTAAAAAAGAAAATAAAAAACACATAAAATTGCACTTATTTTACTAAAAGATAATCATTGTACTTTACTCTATTTGGAAGGTATCAACGAATTTATCATTTTTTTTTCTTTTCAAACAAAATAAAGCAAAAAAGCTTTGTAGTGTACTATTGGAGAGGGGATGCAGGGACGCCATGAGCCCTGCAAAATGATCTCCGAGCCGCTGGATTCGCAGATATGAGTATTTAAACTGACCTTGCGCAAAACCTTTTCTAAAGAATAGATATTATAGAAGTAATGTATAAAATTTGAAAGAAAAAATATTAAATATTTTAATTGCTATACAATGTTTTTTTAAATATTCAAAAATACACTTCATAACTATTGAAAGCGAAAATATTACTTCTATAATGTATATTCTAACGTTTAGGGGTAGCGCTAGGTCGTTTTAAATAACTATCTGCGAATACAGAGGCTTGGAGACCTTTTTGCGGGGCTCATTGCGTTCCTGCACCCCCTCCCTCGTTCTATGCATAGTTTTGTTTAATTAGGTGGAAGAAACAGGAGATTGTCATTATGGGACAACATATGACAGGTAACGTATTTTCACGTTAAAACCATTCATTTGTCGTTTTTAACTTTTTTCTTGTATCACAGTAGTGTAAAAAAACTCTGAAATCTTGAAAATCATTTCGGATTCTTGTTGAGCCTCTGAAAAGTGTTTAAAAATTGATCAAAAGTGAAAAATAATTGGTTTTTAACGAACTTTCGGTCAAAAACTGTTTTTTAACCAAAAGCAGTTAATCAAAAACAGTTTTATAGGTCAAAATCAGTCTTTTAGGTCAAAAACAGTTTTATAGGACAAAAACAGTTTTTTAGGACAAAAACAGTTTTTTAGAACAAAACCAGTTTTATAGGACAAAAACAGTTTTTTAGGATGACACCAGTTTTACAGGACCTTAACAGTTTTATAGGTCAAAAACGGTTTTAATATTTTTTTTAAATCAGAGTGAAATTTTTAGCCTTTTGCAGATTTTGATCCATACTTTTTATGTCAGGTGAAAAACGACATGTTTTAACTGTGAACTTATGTACGAGTGTGTGTTTATGCGGAAAAAGGACGGTACAAAGCTTATAATTATAATTAAAAGAACAAAACAGGCTGACCACAGAATGAAATGCTCAGACTAGGGATTGGTATTTAGTGTTTATTCACTATAGAATTTTATTTTTAAAATTAGATTTACGAATATATGCCGTAAATTATGTTATTTCGGATCCTACAGCATTTCCATCCTATGTATACAATTCCGTCTTACAATACTTCGGACCTACGTCAGCTGTAGGTCGAATGTAAATTCTTATTTTGTTAATCTGACCGACGCAGGAACTGCAGATCTTGTCAGTATGTAGTTGACCCAAATTTATAGGTCAGATGCACATACTTTTGTAGGTTATATGCACACTTTTTGCAGGTCAGATGCACATTTTTTTAAGGTTGGATGCACAACTTTTGTGGGTCGGATGCACAACTTTTGTAGGTCGGATGCACAAATTTGAAGGTCGGATGCACAGCTTTTGTAGGTCGAATGTACACATTTTGTAGGTCGGATGCACAGCTTTTGTAGGTGGAATGTACACATTTTGTAGGTCGGATGCACAGTTTTGTAGGTCGTATGAACACTTTTTGTGGGTCAGATTTGCATCCGACCCACTAATGTTGTGCATCTGACATACGATCAGGTTGTTCATCTGACCTACAAATGCAGTGCATTCGACCTACAAAAGGTCTGCATCTAACCTACAGTTAAGTGTGCAACCGACAAACAGTTCATCGGACCAACAGCAGCTGGAAGCTGCTGAAAAACCACGTGCAGGTTGGTCGGAAGCATCGTAGGACGGATGTAACGTTTGGCGGATGTAATACAATCCAAATTATTTTGATGATCAAGGACGACATTCAATTCGCCTTTCTACTGTTGTGTCACGTGACGGCCAGCCACACCAATTTCTAGTCCGAGCCACATTCTCCTCATTTTCTCATCCGAGCCACCTCTAAATCTTCGTCCTTCCAATGTTATTTTTTAAAAATGTCTAGTCCTCCAAGATAGAAAAAAAATTTAAGAATCGGGCCACGTTAGGGCATAAATGAAATATTAAATTTTAGTAAATCGGAAAAAATAGTTTCAATTGAATTAAAGTTTTTGAGTTCTATGTCCTTAAAAATGTTCACATTTTTTACGCGCATTTTCAGATATTCCTGGTGTAGAATGCCGCAAATAATTCCGAGATTATAAAAGTTTAAAATTTTTTCTTAATTATAATGAAAACCATAGATTTTTTCCTGATGATTTCATGGGGAAAATGCCAAATATTTTGCTATTTATTTCATATAGCGAAGGTAGGCCATTACGGAGGCAGAAGAGTTTTAAGTTTTACCTAAATAATGTTTGACATCATTCTCATGTCTGTAAAGATTCAAACATGATTTAATCACTGCAATACTTTAGTCTATCCATATTTTATGCCCTAACGTGGCCAGATTTGTTAATTATAGTTTTATCTTCAAGAATTAGAAACTTTTCAACACATAATAAACGAAGGACGAGGATTTTGAGGTGGCTTGGAGGACGAGAAAATGAGGAGAATGTGGCTCGGACGAAAAGATGTTGTGGTTGGCCTTCCTCCCCTCGTCACATTTCGTCGGATTTGATTTATATTTATATAGATGCGGGAATAGAGTTTGTATGAAGGGGCCCGGTGAGGTCTGTGGAGGCAAATATGGACGGTAATATTCTAAAATATATTTAAAGAAGTAATCTATGATTTTCTGTCTATTTGTTTGTATACCCAATCATAACTCCGGAACCCCTAGACTGATTTGCCTTAAACTTTAATCGTTGAACTAGTTAGAACCAGTTGAATGTTCTTAGCATTGCTTATTGGGTTGAAAATTTCAGGCAAAGCTGGATTCTCAAGTTAGTTTACATGAATTAAATTATGATTAATGATTATCATTATAAGTTAAAAAACATTATCATTGAATTATTATCCTAGTTTGTAATCTTTAAAGAAACAAAATTAAAGGTCACAAATTACGAAAAAGTTCCTTGTTCTTACTTGTTATAATAAATTAAAGCCAAAATTGGGTTTGCTAAAAATTGCCGATGGTAAAGAGAAATTATAAATTCATCCCTAGATTCCCATGTTTATTTGGACACGCTGGATTTAGATTCCCATGTATATTACAACACCCTTTAATTAATTTCCATGTTTATTGGGACAACCTGTACTAAATGCCCATGCTTATTGGAATAACCTGAAATAAACTCCCATGCTTATTGGGACACCCTGTTCTAGATTCCCATGCATTTTGGGCCCATGTTTATTGGAAATCCTGTTCTAGGTCTATGTTTATTGGTACACTCTGTACTAGATTCCCATGTTTATTGGGAACCCCTGTACTAGATTCCCATGTTTATTGGTACACCCTGTACTAGATTCCCATGTATTTTGGTACACCCTGTACTAAGTTTCCATAATTATTGAGACACTATGCACTAGATTCCCATGTTTATTTGGACACGCTGTATTAAGATTCCCATGTTTACTGGGACACCTTGTAATTAATTCTCAAGTTTATTGGGACACCCTGTACTAGATTCCCATGTTTATGGGGACACCCTTTACTAGATTCCCATGTATATTGGTACACCCTTTACTAGATTCCCATGTTTATTGGGACACCCTTTACTAGATTCCCATGTTTATTGGGACACCCTGTACTAGATTCCCATGTTTATTGATACACCCTTTACTAGGTATGGAACCTGTGGAGACGGACTAATGTGCTCCAACTGTAACAGATGTCAGGTCAGGATTATTAAAAAACAAAAAATTTAGGAAAAAACATGTTTTTGGCAATAAGTTTGTTAAATATAAAAATTTAGTAAAAAAATGCGTTTCTTTTGTTGTTTAGGGGTGCTCTTACCAAACATTCTCTTGTTGGAGTGATACTAACTGTTTATCCTGGTAAAGGGAACCAATAAGAGGTAATGCGCAAGAGATTGTTCCTGATATTAGGTAATTTTTTTGCTAATATTTGTACAAAATAAGAAAGTTTTTTTTACGTTGGGTCTCATTTCTCAGGAAATGCGAAAAAAAGATTTTTCTGCGTTTTTTATTTCAACAAGTCTAACAAGATATATGAAGCTGTCAACAAGTCTAACAAGATATATGAAGCTGTCAACAAGTCGAACAAGATATATGAAGCTGTCAACAAGTCTAACAAGATATATTAAGCTGTCAACAAGTCTAACAAGATATATGAAGCTGTGGCGCCCCTGTTGGATTCCTGGAATGCCTTACTTATTCATGCTTATTAGCACCCCGCTAAAAAGCTGTCAACGTAATTTTCTTAATCACTCTGGGCCGTAGTAAATTTGAATTCGAACAGGACCTGCCCAGTTTGTACCGGCCTGCCAGATAATAGCCTGTACTGACCCGTCGCCCTAACCAGACTAATGGACCGGCCTCTGCATGCAAAAATGATTTAACATGCTACCCTTGAAAGAGTTGTCTTATCAATTATAAATATTTAAGATACAAAATTATTAATATTAAACACTATTCAAGTCGTAAAAACGACGTATTTCAATTTTTTTTTATCAGGTTAAGGAATTTCAAGGGTGTTGCTATCTTTGTCTAGAGGGTAACTTGAAATTATTCCGTATATTCCTTCAGGGCGGATACAGGGGAGGGGGCGGCAGAACCCCCCTAAGTTTTCAGAATAGCTTCTCAATAGCACTTAAGGGAAAGAAAACCTAATGCCAAACAGAAAAAAATATCTATCTTAAAATATTTTTCTTATATTTCTAGGTTGGTAAAGAAGAATAAATAATTCCTCAGTCCTGCTGCAATTGATTGATTGATTGATTGTCAATTAATAGCTTCATCTAAAGACCATGTATTTGGAGTTAATAAAAATACCTGCTGCCATCTATTTTTTAATTTTATTATAATTATTTATTAAGAAGTACTTTAAATGTTTTCGAAAATTTTCAAAAAGAAATTAACAAAATTTTAGATAAGAACTAAATTCTAATCAATTAAATTAAGAATTGATATTACACTCCAAAATATTTGGATACCGAGGTCCAGCTATACAGCCGCATCTAGGGATTAAACCACGTGCTTGCTCCACTGAAACAGCTGATTCCATATTTCCATGATCAGCTGTTTCTACACTTGAATATTCAGCTGATTTTTTCTTCAGTTTCATCGTGTCTTCTACTTTCAAATCTGGCAAATTGTTTGTCTCCTCCTCTTTGGTTTCTGAAACCCCAAAGAAACAATCATTGATACAATAATAAAGATTTAAGGACAACTTTAAGGATGATTAGTTAATGCATTTGTTAAATGACTAAGATATCATTTTTTTTTCAAAACAAAATCAGGCTTTTGATTTCTTTTATTTGGCTTATTACAATGCAACCAATGTTCAAACTGTATTACGCTTTATAAAAAAATCATTGTTTGACACAACCATTAAATGTTTAAGTACATAATTATCTCGAAGTATTTAAACAGTCAGAGCAAATGAATATTCATCTCATACATTTTTATATTTTTTGTATTTTTATTCTTAGATAGTTAACAATAGTTAATAACCTTAACGACGACTCTTCGTTAACGGCTGTTGACGACGACCCTTTGTTAACGATGAAATACATTTTTGATCAAAAATCCCTTAGATCAGAACAACCTTAGGTCAGAAAACATAAGGGTATGTATTTCCCTCTATAACAATAAAAAATATTTCAGACGACACACATCAATTTTTCTCACTGTAAAAAAATGAAACCAAATGTAATTAAAATGAAATTATGAGTCGTTGTGATCCATCATTCTTTCTAAAAACAACATATGATCGTTTTAGAAACAAAAACGAAAAGAAGAACTATCGTTTCTTCGATCGTTTTTAAAAACGATTAACAACCCAAAATGTGTATCATGAATTTTCACAAACTATGAACATTTTGATGAATTTAATAACATAATATATTAACGTTCACAAATATGAACAAAATTCAATTTACATAGTGAAGTCTTTTAAGCATAGTGGACTTATTTACTGTCTTTGTTCTGCACGGCATTATTGCGTGAATAAAATTTTGTAAGTATCTCAGTTGAAACAATTAAATGAAAAATTACTAGTCTCGGGATTTCCAAAATGTGTCACCACAACTATAAAACTAAAGGATATGATAATAAACTTGTCCAGATTCTTATAACAACAAAGTTTTTCAAATGTTTTATGTCTCCGTCAATTTTGAAGCTACAAAGAAGGCGGACCACAACTTGAAAAGCTCAGAAGACAAACAATCTTTTTACGATGCACTTTCTGTCATTTATCAACCATCGGGAATACACGACGATTTTCAAGTTAATTTACACGTTTCTTGGGGAACACTGTACGTTAGATATTATGTACACTGTAGACGAACGAACACATTGTACAAGATACACAAATTTGAATTTTCCTTTTTTTAAATCAAAATATAATTATAGCTTTGTAAAACTCCCGGTAGTCGGATATTTTTTTTAATCAAAATATAATTATAGCTTTGTAAAACTCCCGGTAGTCGGATATTTTTTTCTAAAGGTTAATGTTTTCCAACCATGTACTTCTTCTAATACTAAATAGTCACTGATTACAAATCTAATTTTGAAAGTCTTTTTACTAAATTGTTTTCTTTTGCCTTGGTTAGCCAGGTTGTTGGTTGTAGGATTGTAGGGACAACTGTTCACATCCATTTATCAATTATAACAACCCATTCAGTGTTGACCACAAAAATAAGACTTTATTGGCTCAAATATAAACCAAACTCTTTCTGTGGATATGGCTTTGATTTAGCGAGAAAAATCTCGAAATTCAGTGCAAAGATGGCATTTCCGATTTATAACAGTACCCTTAAAAGCTTTGTCTGATCAAGTATGAATTAGTTATCTTTGTTTATAATTTTAAAAACTTAGTACTTTCAATTGTGGTTTCTCTGCAAAAGATACTTGCGCATTTCTACTGCAGGAAAACAAACAGGAATTATAACTAGAAATGGCCGCGTTTGTGGGTTTTTTTTTCATTTCGTTCGTTCATCGTTCATGAATGGCCTATTTCGTTTTTTCAATCGTTAATGTTAAAGGTAACTAGCTAGCTTAGCATTGCCTTCATTGATTAAATTTTTCGCCCTTATTAAGTTTGCATCTATATAATCTCTATTAATCTGTTTGTTGGTATGTCCAATCATAACTCATGACCCCCTTTCACCAATTTGCCTCAAATTTTTATTTTGGAACTCGGGAATCTACGAGAATGTTCTTAGCTTGGTTTTAGATTCGTGTGGGTCCACCCACTTTTAAAGAGAAAAATAGCCAAAATCATTATTTTCTACAAAGCTAGGATAAACAGCGGGAGTAACTATGAGCAACGCTGGGTTCTCAAGCTAGTATATTGGTAATGTTCCTGCAGTCCTCGTTATCCAAATATTGACATGTATTATGTAGAAAACAGTGACCCTAGATAAAGATATAGGGTGACCCACAAAGGATTAGACTTCAGAGACGACTTTAAGGAATTTATTTAGTTCTTTTTCTTGCACTTAGGGTTCCTCCTGTAGGCGTGTAGCTGTAAACAAGTTTCTTTCTTTACTGTAGATTATTTAATATACCATAAAACTTTTCTATTCAAAACAGAAGCCAAAACCATCAAATCATAACATTTTAGGAGTTGAAAGGTTTTTACTAAAATCTCATTCTTTTTGGGTCACCCTGTACATTCTATTTATATCTAATAAATCTCATCCTTTGTGGGTCACCCTGCACATTCTAATAAAATCTAATAAATCTCATCCTTTTGGGTCACCCTATGTATTCTATTTATATTTAATAAATATCATCCTTTGTGGGTCACCCTGTACATTCTATTTATATCTAATAAATCTCATCCTCATGGGTCACCCTGTACATTCTACTTAAATATAATAAATCTCATCCTTTTGGGTCACCCTGTACATTCTAATAAAATTTAACAAATCTCTACTTTTCCTTGTAAAAGGAAATGGGATCTTGTCACAGATTCAAATTTACTAATCCCTATATCTTTGCTGTCTGATGCTGAACACCTTTGATACTTCAAACTCAGTTTATTAATGATTATTACAGAATAGATATTTAGAAAGGTCTAAGACAGAGTTTGTTGCAAAAACTTAATTCTTTATTAAAAGAGGTAAGTTTTTATGTTTCTTGGAGAGGGGGTGGGGGTAAATTTAGGGGTTTAAGGGTAGGCAATTAAAATGAAAATGTAAAGAGCTAGAATGAGGGGAGGGGGTCATGAAAAGGGTATTATAAGGGATTGCAGATTCTGATCCTTCCACGAGACCCTTAGATTCTTAGACCAGGCCTGGCCTGAATATACTAAACAGTCTACAACTCTTGTTTTGAATAATTCCGACATTTAATTAAACAACTTATACCAAAGTAGATGATATGGATCTAAGTACATAATTATCTCGAAGTATTTAAACAGTCAGAGCAAATGAATATTCATCTCATACATTTTTATATTTTTTGTATTTTTATTCTTAGATANCTAAATATAACATATTTATAGTTGACAAATACAGCATATTAGCTGACATAAGGTCTAAATATAACATATTAGTTGACAAATACAGTATACTAGCTGACATAAGGTCTAATTATAACATATTAGTTGACAAATACAGCATATTAGCTGACATAAGGTCTAAATATAACATATTAGTTGACAAATACAGTATATTAGCTGACATAAGGTCTAAATATAACATATTTATAGTTGACAAATACAGCATATTAGCTGACAAATACAACATACAGTGATAACCAGAAAACTCTGAAATATGAAGACGACTTTTATAGAAAATTTATGACTTAAATTAGTTCATTGAGCATGGGACACAGCAAATGTGCAGAGTGAACAGACCCATTTCACCAGAAAAACTTATTTACTTTGTAACAACATCATATACACTGACAAAGTGTCTAAATACAATATTTTAGCTGAAATAATGTCTAAATGTAACATTTAAGCTGACATAAGGCATAAATGTAACATATAAGCTGGCATAAAGCCTAAATACAACATATTTGCTGACATAATGTCCAAATACAACATATTTGCTGACATAATTTCAGAATACAACATATTTGCTGACATAATTTCAGAATACAACATATGAACTGGCATAATGTCTAAATAGAACATACAATCTGACGTAATGTCCAAATACCACATATCAGCTGATACAGTGAAACCCTTAATAACGAATACATCGAAAGAATTTATCAAATATCGTATTCTTCACTTTCTGATACTGGAATGTTGCAGATATTTAGTTATTTAATCAAATGATTAAATGGAACTCTTTAAAACTGTTCCCGCTTCATGGCTATTTATTTATTTTCGCAAATACTGAAATTTACGTAATATAGTATAAAACTCATTGAAAAATTGTCAAGACGACATTTGATAAATTCTTCCGATGTATTCGTTATTAAGGGTTTCACTGTATTATATCAAAATTCAACTAATTATTTGACATAATGTCAAAATTCAACATATAATTGTTAACATAATGCTCCGCATATCAATATTAATGATAAATTGAACTGGATGTTTAAATAATATATACAGCGTACTAGGGTACGTACTACGTACAGGTGTGCATTAAACAATGTTGATTTAAAGATTTGAAGGATTTTTAGTCTTTAGTGTGTTTTAACAAGATGAGGTGTTTGAGATAAATATGTTTTAGATAAAAAGTTCAAGGGCGCCATTTTAGGTTGGTGGCACAAGATTATCTTTTCATGACATTTTTAATATATTTTTCTTCCTACTCAAATTATGCCTATTTACTGTACGGATCGTTTTTCTCAAAATGTAAACTTCTAAGAAACAGAAATATATATATTTTTTTAGGAACTAGCCTTAGAGGGCGCTTCTCGCCCATCTTCTAAATTAATTGTGAACATGTTCTCTTTGTGTACATCGTAAAACAAAACAAAAATTTCTACTGCATATAATTTGTGAACATTTACATGATTTGTACACTTTGAACTCCCTTTCAGGCTGAAAGGGACTGAAAAAATTCATACCGAGAGATTATTTTAATTCCTCTCTATATATTCTATTCTCTATGGTAATTATTTGTTTATGAAATATAACAAAAACATAAAAAATTAAGTGTTCCAGGAGAAAATATGTTAAAACCTCCAAAAGTAGAGGTTGTGGGAATATTTCCCCCCCAATTCTAAAAAATATAGAAAATAGAAATCAAAGGAAAGGAAAGGAAAAGGAAAGTTAAATATTAATTGTTTACACTATGTTTAATATAAACTGGTAGAGGATTGTAAGTATTTTTCGTAGAGGAACTAAAAACTTTTAGAAATAAAAATGATATGTTTATTTGCAATGTTTAAAAAAATGGAAAAGGCTTTATGGGTTGTGGAAAAGGTAAGGGTTCTACGGAAAACGGGCATTTTTAAGCATCTTTTCAATTCGCGCCGATTTTTGACATCCTTTATGTTTGATTATATCTTTTACTCTTCTTAATCTTTTTATTCTTTTCTTTGTAAAATCGTAAAATTGCTTTTTTCGATTCTTTTGCAAACATAGCTTGTGATAAAATTAAAACTTTTGTTCTGCTGATAAAAAATCTTCAATTAAATTCTGTTTAAAATTCGAAATAAGATTGATATTTGAAAGCTTTAAAAAGTGTCGTTTATTTTCATACCATATTTTAGGGAAATTGTGAGGATGGAGCAGTCCAATTTTAATAGATTTCCCTCTAGGAATATAAATATCATTTTTGTTCCTAAGTTTTTGATATTTTTTGATAATATAAAATCTTTTTTAAATGTTGGGGGTAATTGGTCTCCTGGATATTGAAATAAAAATTTTATAACATTAAAAACTCATAATTTTCTGAAGGGGAGTATGTCCAAAGCCCAAAAAGCTTCCGCTGTGTGACTTATTCCAAAGTTAATAAATACTAAAGTGGAACAGACTAAACAAGGACGACAGGTTGGGCCATAAGGTTCTATTTGGTTTGGAAATAATTGCATGAAAAGATTTCTTTTGGAAAGTAAAGACTAGAATAATTAGACTAAAGACCCATATAAATGTCGTCTTCAGTTAGAACTTCGAAATTTTCATAATTAAAAATCTAAATTTTTAGTATGTTTTTTATATAGTTTATATGTAAATACTATATAGTCGCTTAATCGGATTTATTGATTTTGCCTGGCACGTATTTCTAATTCTATAGGAATCTATCTTTAAAACTGCTTAGTTTTGTTCTTTCAAATCTCACTCCATTCTATTCCGAAATATGTTTGTAAAATTCTTAAACACAATTATGTTACTATCCAGATTCCAGAGGCGTATTTAGAGAGGGCTCATACCCCTCCTGGATCAGTGAAATAAATGCTGGGGGGGTTTGGTCCCCCCTAAAAAGAAAAAGAAATGTATTCTTTGGGGGTAAAAAACCTGAATACGCCTCTCTTAATATCTTTAAAATTATGTCTTAGTTCTCAGTCACTCTAAATCTGTCAAAATACAAAAGTGAAGACCAAAAGATATATTTCGAAGATCTTCAGTTTTCAATATCACAAATTGTGCATTCCTTGTTTTACTGATTATGCATTCCTTGTTTTACGGATTATGCATGCAGGCATTATTGTGCTGTCTGAAATTATTTACTGTGCAGTAAAATGGCTAAAATTCACTTCTGAATTAACCGTTAAATACAAACTCTAAGTCTGTGTTTGTAAAGAAATGAGTCCAGTTTCTGTTGTACTGCAGCACTCCGTACAGACCAATTTATATATTTTACTATTTTTAAATGCTTGGGACATAAAATGTCGTCATCCAACTATGAGTTTGTCCCACTTTAGAATTTAATCACTTTGGACTTATTCTAGGTAACCCCGTCAATAGACGAATAGCTTTCTTTTGCAATGATTCATATCTTATCAATATTTTTGTTTGAAAATAGCATTAAAAATGTTGAACTAAATTATAAATGAGAGTGTTAAAGGAGTAATAAAGCAATTTCATGGTTTTAATTTTTTTCATACCATAAAGTGAAAAAGTGGTATGAAAGTTCAATTTAGTATCCAGCCATATTCCCAAGATTCTAACTGAATCTGTTTTTTATGCGTTCAATTTTTCGTATAGTTTCTCCTAGTTAAAAGAAAACCCAGCATGTAATAAATCCCATAGTTATATACGTTGTACATTGTCTGTAAAATAGTAAAGTATTGTTGAACTGATCAGGTATTATCCCTCGTAGACCTACGAGAGGGATTGAGTTGTACCTGGATTGATATGAGCCTATAAGCGGTTTTAGGAGTAAGGCATTTACTGGTTCTAGGAGTAAGGCATTAACTATAACAAGCATGTGTGCAGTGCACCATTTTACTTAATAAGTGAATTTTCAAGTTACCGGTAAATCTGTTTCCAGTCGTAAATACGTTACACGTAATTACGCGTAATTACGCGTAACACTGCACTGTAATTCACTTTTGGAGGAGCATTGCGCGAAATTACGCGCTAATTACGTATACGAAAGAAAGTCTAGTTTCGCGTAATTACAGCGTAATTTGGCGAAATCGAAGTTTCGCTAATTACGCGTAATTATTACAAAATTTCGTGAAATAACATTGTAGAAATTACGCCGTAATTTTGCGTAATTGCGTGATTACGCGAAATCCTGCGAAATTACACGAAATGAAAATTGTCTCGCGTAACTGAACGTAATTTCGCGTAAGTGAATAATCTATTACGTTGGAAACCCTACGTTGCTTTGTGCTAAATTCACTGGAAATGCTGCGCCGACTTTGAACCTGCTAAAGAAGGCTGTACAGCAAATATAAGGCAAAACGGGACGGGACGCCAAATGCACAATCCCATTCTTGTGTGATGTGCCTACCCACCCATTTAGTATTACCGGTTTCACTGCCATAGTTTTTTTGAAAGCTTCATTTAAAAAAAATTGTATTTAGAAAAAAAGCATTTATTTGAACATCATTCTTTTGATTATATAAATACCTGACATTCAAGCCGAGATACGATATGCTCAACATGATCCAGTTCACTACAAATATATTCATCATTTTACAGGGGTATTCATAATATATTGATCTTTTTTCAGGGGTATTCATAATATATTGATCTTTCTACAGGGGTATTCATAATATATTGATCTTTTTACAGTGGTCTTTATCATATACTAGCTGGAGTGCCCGGCGTTGTCCGTGAGATAAAGAAAATTTTGAATTTAAAAAAAAATTATTTAAGTTCGATTCTTGTATTTCATTTTATTACTAATTAAAATTATCAAGCCATTGTTCGCTTTGTATGAATGTATCCTACGACAGCTAATCAATAATAATGCAAAATATAAATTTTCAGAAATGAACAGTGAGAACCAGAAAACTTCGAAATAGGAAGACGACTTTAAGATTCAATTTATGACATTAAGAATAGTCCCCTGATTATATAAGCAATTATGCAGCAAAAACGGACGAACTTGACTAAGTTGTTTTCTGGTAAAACTATTTGCTTTTATCAAAATCAAATACACTTATTTATGACGTCTTCCTATTCCACATTTTTCTGGTTCTAACTGTATTGTTCGACAATTAGAAATTACATAATTGAATGCAATTAGGAACGTAAGGATGATGAACATTCTGTTCAATTTTACAGGGCTATCAACAAAGTATGAGACTTCAGAGACGACTATGCGAAATTTGTTCAGTCTTGTTTTCTCACATTCTTGCAAATAATTCTGCATGCAAACTTTGTTTCTTTCATTGCCAAATAATTTAGTATATCAGTAAAAACTTTATTTTTCAGATCGTCGTTTAAGTTTCTTTGAAGGTAACCCTATATCTGCATATATAAATATGTATTTAAACTAGTAATCTCTGTTTATCTTATTGTGTTATTTTATTTCTGATTATAACTCTGAAACTCTTTGACCACTGCAAGTAACGGACTGCAGATCCACTGTAAACCGCGGTTCATTTGAAATAACGGACTGCAGATCCACTGTAAACTCTGGTAAATTTGAAGTAATGGACTGCAGATCCACTGTAAACCGCGGTTCATTTGAAATAACAGACTGGAGATCCACTGTAAACTCTGGTAAATTTAAAGTAATGGACTGCAGATCCACTGTAAACCGCGGTTCATTTGAAATAACCGACTGCAGTTCCACTGTAAACTCTGGTAAATTTGAAGTAACGGACTGCAGATCCACTGTAAACCCCGGTTCATTTGAACTAACGGACTGCAGATCCACTGTAAACTCCGGTTCATTTGAAGTAACGGACTGCAGATCCACTGTAAACTCCGGTAAAATTGAAGTAACGGACTGCAGATCCACTGTAAACTCCGGTTCATTTGAAGTAAATGGACTGCAGATCCACTGTAAACACCGGTTCATTTGAAGTAATGGACTGCACATCCACTGTAAACTCCAGTTCATTTGAAGTAAACGGACTGCAGATCCACTGTAAACTACGGTAAATTTGAAGTAAACGGACTGCAGATCCACTGTAAACTCCGGTAAATTTGAAATAATGGACTGGAGATCCACTGTAAACTCCGATTTATTTGAAGAAACGGACTGCAGATCCACTGTAAACTCCGGTAAATTTGAAATAACGGACTGCAGATCCACTGTAAACTCCGGTTTATTTGAAGTAGCGGACTGCAGATCCACTGTAAACTCCGGTAAATTTGAAATAACGGACTGCAGATCCACTGTAAACTCTGGTAAATTTAAAGTAATGGACTGCAGATCCATTGTAAACTCCGGTAAATTTGAAGTAACCGACTGCAGATCCACTGTAAACTCCGGTAAATTTGAAGTAACGGACTGCAGATCCACTGTAAACTCCAGTTCATTTGAAGTAAACGGACTGCAGATCCACTGTAAACCCCAGTTCATGTTGAAGTAACGGACTGCAGATCCACTGTAAACTCCGGTTCATTTGAAGTAACGAACTGCAGATCCAATGTAAACTCCGGTTCATTTAAAGTAAACGGACTCCAGATCCTCTGTAAACTCCGATAAATTTGAAGTAACGGACTGCAGATCCACTGTAAACCCCGGTTCATTTGAAAAAACGAACTGACTTTAAGAAAGTTAGGGCAAGCTGTAAAGTACGTACGTACACATACAGACTATATACTACTATAACGTGAAGTACACCAAATAAACCATCTCCTTTTTGTGAGAGTTTAGTGTGACCGATTTGCCTCAAATTTAGATTTGGGAACAAAGGTGAAGTTTTTTCTTTGTATGAGTAAGTTGACTTTTACCGAAAAGGTTTGCTTTCCAGGCAAAGCTGAGTTCCCAAACTGGACACTAATAATTTTGTTAAATCAAATTGATGTAAACCTGTCCGAGCAGATGTAACCAGGGAAAAATTCAGTACAGTCTACAGTAGACGTAGTAGATTCAGTAGACATAGTTGTTGTTGTTGTTGGTTTAGATGTAGATGATAATGTTGTTGTTGTTGTTTCTTCGGGGGTAGAAGTTGTTGGGCCTGTAACATGAAATATTATCCGTTTGTAAATATTTTTTCCTGGATAAAATTTACAAATAATCTTATAAATTTTTAGCAGCTCAATAAGAAGAAAATTTACAAAAAAATGAAACCCAAGTGATCTTTTATTTTAAGAATATTACCAGCTTCTTCAAACTACTCTCTTTTCAAAACACATTTATTTTTGTAACTTTATTTTTATTCCTGCATGAGAGAAAAGCTTTCTTATAAAAGCATAATAACAAAACAATCTTTAACAGCAAAAGTACTGATATAAGGTGTCACAGTATTATTATATTATTAAACAATTGTATGAGAACATGAACGATGCTTTTATGAAAATTAACTTTACTTTCTGATAGTTATAGTATTAAAAATGTAAGGTTGTATGTCTCTTAATTTCTGAAATGTATTATTTGTAACATTCGTCGTTACAATTGACAGAGAAAATAAATGTTTGTAAATTTTTGTTATTTATTTGATTTACAATTGAGACTTCTCAATTTTACGATTAAAAAGCAGTGGCCATATTTTGAAGATCAATTGTTATTTTTGTTAAAATATTGTTGAGTAAAGACGATTTAAAGACGTCAATAAATTCCCATATTTGTGAGAGCACCCTGTACCTGGAGGCCAGGGACATGTGTCAAAATCAGGAGATGGGGGTCCACTCACACAACCCTGGCATGTAAATATGTATCGTAAATATATGAATTTATGGATATATGGATATATATATATATATTTATATTAATTTACATGCTTTGCTTGTCTGTCTATTTGTTTGTCTGTTTGTATCCAATAAACGTCGAAACGGCTAGACCGATCGGGCCCAAGTTTTGTGTGTGATCCCCAGGGAAGGTTTATGGATGACCGAATTAAAAAAATTGCCTCTAACAAAATTCGATTTTTGAAAATTTGGAAAAACCACGAATTTATTTTATAAAATCAACAAACATTTTTTTTGTCTTTGTTTTACAAAGAGAAATTACTTACACTTGAAATAGAAGATGGGCGCGAAGCGCCCTAAAAGAACAATATATATATATATAATGTACAATGAGTAACACACAAAACACAATGCGCACATTCATTTATACCTGACAGTTCTCAATTGAGCCACATCCTCGTAGTAAAAAACATTGATCACCAGAATGAGTGAAAAATATGCAATCAGAATTAGATCTTAATAAAATCAGAATTAGATCTATAATATAATCAGAGTTAGTTCTATAATATAATCAGAGTTAGATCTATAATACAATCAGAGTTAGTTCTATAATATAATCAGAGTTAGATCTATAATATAATCAGAGTTAGTTCTATAATATAATCAGAGTTAGATCTAAAATATAATCAGAGTTAGTTCTATAATATAATCAGAGTTATATCTATACTATAATCAGAGTTAGTTCTATAGTATAATCAAAGTTAGTTCTATAATATAATCAGAGTTAGTTCTATAATATAACCAGAGTTAGTTCTAAAATATAATCAGAGTTAGTTCTATAATATAATCAGAGTTAGTTCTATAATATAATCAGAGTTAGTTCTATAATATAATCAGACTTGAATCTATAATATGATCAGAGTTAGTTCTATAATATGATCAGAGTTAGATCTATAAAATAATCAGAGTTAGATCTATAATATAATCAGAGTTAGTTCTATAATATAATCAGAGTCAGTTCTATAATATAATCAGAATTAGATCTATAATATAATCAAAGTTAGATCTTTAATATAATCAGAGTTAGTTCTATAATATAATCAGAGTTAGTTCTATAATATAGTCAGAGTTAGATCTATAATATAATCAGAGTTAGTTCTATAATATAATCAGAGTTAGTTCTATAATATAATCAGAGTTAGTTCTAAAATATAATCAGAGTAAGTTCTATAATATAATCAGAGTAAGTTCTATAATATAATCAGAGTTAGTTCTATAATATACTCAGAGTTAGTTCTAAAATATAATCAAAGTTAGATATTAAAATGTACCCTATCCAAGTGAGACTAACCTGCATACATCCTGGCAAAGTCCTGGTGTCTGTATTTGATTTACTATGCTGATTATATTTAGCTCACTTAGAGGACAAGATCCTTCCTAATACAATCTGATTTAATTTCAATTTCAATTTTTGATTTCTACCCAGCTTTCTAACAGCATAGAATGGATACATGTAACAAATATCTCCGAGTATTATATCAGAGAAACCTGATACCTTATCTATATTCCTTCTAATAAGTATTATTATTTTATGCACACTTCGTAACCAAATAAAAGATTAACTTTATCGTTCATGAAACTTGTAAATATATATATATGTGTCCTAGTTGGGTGTCTGTCACGCCGGTCCGGCCACCCTATTTGACCTGTAACCTTATGTTTCAATAAATAGTATTCTGGTACCCATGATAAATAGTTAGTTAAGTGTAACACCTCGCGTTGAAGAGACCTGGCTGAAACCCTACGTAGAGAAGTCAGAAATACAGTCCGTTTTCTGCAGTTAATCTTGACTCGGGAAGACTGGCATTTTGTGACATGCACATTATCATGTAAACAAAGAGAATCTGTCAATTAACAGCTTCCTTTTGTTTTGTTGTAAACTTATAAAAAGAACAAAGATTATTAAAAACAAAATCATAATTTGAAAAGTCGTCTTCGTTGTATTAATATAAACGCCGACCAGTTTACAAGATGTTGAAAAAGAAAGATGTAATGAGTAAACTTTAAACATTAATCTTATCCACTTCCTTTATAAAGTTCCGAAGGAACTAAGTTTTTTCTCAAATTGTCTAATTCTATCTTTGGCAGCATAATGGTGTAAAAATTCGTAGTTTGAATTATCAACGGTCTACGACATAAGGTTGCAAAGATATAGGGATGATAAAATAAAGGTTTGCGGCATATATTGCCAAAATTGGAAAATAATATGACTTGAAGTTTTTTAATATATAAAAAGTGGAGCCATACAAAAAAGTAGGAATAGTAGAAGGTCCTCTTTTCTGTTAAGCTGCGCATTTTTTTTACCAAAAAAGATGGTTTCTTTCAAGAAAGGGGTAATAAAAAGAGTTCTTCTTATCCAAAAAAAGGGTTTTTTTACCAAAAAAGTTTTTTTTACCAAAAAAGGGGTTTTCTTACCAAGAAAAAGGGTTGATGAAAAAAGTGGAACTTCAACTACTCTTTCATAACGAAAGCACCCTTAACTAAGCTTTCGGAGAGTAAAAGCGAATATTGGAAAATCAAGAATTACTCCTCTTGATTTTTAGATTGAATTCCTAATAATTTGTCTGTAATATTGTTTAAACAAAAGTACTTTGAAATACCGAATATTTGTTTTGAATTAAATAATAAAATGTGTTAGCTGGACATAACCCAGTGAGAGAAATATCTATTATTTTGTTATTTTTACATTAAAATGTTCTCATATCTTAACAAATGTGTTCTTGATTGATATCATTGCCCAGGTTAGCACTGGGAAAGGAGGGTACAGCGGTACAAAGTACAATAATTCTAAGGAAGGTACAGCGGTACAAAGTACAATCATTCTAAGGAGGGTACAGCGGTACAAAGTACAATCATTCGGTACAATGTACAATAATTCTAACAATTCACCTGAAAGTCGGAACACGTGTTAAAACCATAGCAGTGGGTTATACAGAAAATCTAAACAATTATAAATTATAGTTCTTTTTCTAACTTTATAAGGAGTGCCATAAAAGGACTGTATATGCGACCCTCTATTTTTAGAGTGGCATGTTCAACTCAACATGTTACCTTTGTGCATTACAGAATGACGAAGATATAGCAATTTTTTTTTTGAGTGTGACGTAATTTACACAGAGTATACTCTTTGCAAGGAAAACAGATTATAAAATGTACAGTTTATAGAGCAACACTCGCGAAAATAATAATTTGATATTAATGATAATAAGGATAATAATACTAAATATAATGGTGAAAATATTGACAATAATGATAATAATATTAATAAAAATAATAATGATAATATTAAAAGAAGACATGTACAGCTACTTCATATACAAGCTTGTACGACACGTATACAAGAATTTCTTATTTTACTAAGTACAACCAAGGTTATAATGCAAGGAAAGTTATTTCAGAGGTTTACGCATCTTCTGTACTGCAGTGTACAAAACGGATGTCACAGCCTGACATGTGATTCATGTTTTTTTTTTTTAATAAAAAACCATTAAAATACTCTGATCATAGGAAACTATTATGTGAATTATCAAGATTGTCAAACTTTAAGGCTTTTAACCTCCTCGGATACTAAACGAACACTGATTCATCTATTCTTGTTTACAAATCCCGCCTAGAGAGAACTGGTTTCAATATGTACGCAGAGTATACGCAACTGCAATTAACTTTCCTTGCATTAGTACCTTGAGTACAACCAAGTTTATTTGCAACCAAATCATATAAAAACAAATTCTAAACTCTAGCAGACGAAAAATCTTTTGATAACACCTTTTTCTCGTTACTAAAACCATATTAAATCAAAAAATCATTTCCGAAAAGTCGATATCAAAATTGCAACTCTCAATTCGTTTATTGGAACACCCTTTACTATACAATCTATGGTAGTACTAATAGTACTTGAGAAACAACAATTCGATTTACCAATAAAATTCCGAGAATCATCGTCTGTAGTTGTAAAATGAAAACTATTTGATAAAAAGGCTGGTTAGTCCGGGGTTAGTCCTTATCTTTTTTCCAGGAATAAACACTGTAAAAAATTCTTATTATCTTTATTTTTGCGTCTGAGTGAAAATTGCACTAAAGGGAGTGACCGGCTATGTAAGGTAGTTAAAATGATTATGCAGTGTTGTGGTCAAATTCTTTTGGATTCATTTGAGACATATAAAACGTTTTCACAATATTTAATTACTGAGTTTGAGTGAATAGTCGACGTTTAAAATCAAGAATTTGATTGGGTACGTCTTCATTTAATTATTAAATAACGACGACGAAAAATAAAGTAAAAATTATTAAGTAAACGAATTAGATGTTTAGGAACAAATTTTACAAAAGAAATTTGTCAATAAATCAATGTTAGAATCAATTATTTCGTTTTCGTTACGTACAGTTCTGTTCATTTATACACAAATTTCTTAAATGTTAGGATCATAAAAAGGAGAGTATCCGAGCTGGGCCAACCTTTGCGGTCCTAGTTTGGACTGTAAATTACAATTACTAAAGGGGCAGACCTGTGTGTATTGTATAAACACACATGTACCGGACTTTATGTGCTATACATATACAGTCTTTAGAATATTAATTCGTTGATTTTTAAAAAAGTTTTTTTTCAAGGAATCCTGAAGCAAAAACAAGCGTTCAATCGATGCAATTAGTCGATTCTCTATAGGTTAGCACCAGTTAGCACGTTTAACGATCTAAGATTTTTTATTGAAAGCAAAGTTGTAGTCAGGTTTCAGAACATTAAAATTTGTAATGTTGTTATACAGGGAGTCCCACATCATACGATATCGTCAATAGGTCTAAGTTAAGATTTTCGGGACTAATCAGAAAATTTGAGAAAAATGAATCATTTTGAAAAATTGAATAAGATTTTTTTTGCGGAAAATGCTAGGTTTTTCGAGTATTATGAGTTTATTTTGGCGTTAAAACTTGGAGATAATCTAATATGATATGGGACGTTCTGTACTTCACATATTGTAGTAAACAGCGTGTCCCTCGAAACATGACAGCTTGAAATGGATTTGAAACAATTGCATTGATGGCACTCAGTGGTCACCCTGATTTTAGAAGTAATATTTATTGAATTAACAATTCCGATATGTTATAATTCTAGTTCTGCTCTTTCCCAAAATTTGGTCTGCCTCTTTGGTGCTCTCTTCATACCTTAGGACATTTTAACATTGTTGCAGATTGCCTTGCGCTCTTTGTGTATTATTTATGCTTTTCAATTTCAATTACTTAAAAAAAGGAAAATTTCGCACATTTCAATCAAATCAAATTTATTTTGCGTAGATTTTCAATTACAGCCGACAAATAAAGCTATTTTTAGAAGTGTGTTAAACCAAAGCGAGCTATTTTATTATTTCAATATTTTATTATTTTATTATTACAAAGGATGAGAATGTATAAAATTTATACTGTCTGTTTCTTTATATTCATAGCTCCCTGCAATTGTTAACTTCTTTGTTCCTTGGCAAAGCAAAACATTAAACGACTACAAGTTTTACTGAGAAAGTTTGTAGCTTTTTGTTATGAACCCTAATTTTAGAAAATAATATTCTTGAAAAAATTGGATCATGAATTACCCCTAGTGTTGACATTTTCTAATATGTTCTACTTTTTTGTTTTCAAAATTCCTAGAGACTTAAAGAATTTTGTTATCTGTAACTTTTTTCATTGGATAGTTTTCGAAGATCAAAGACTTATATCTTCACTCTGATGATTTTACTTTAGATATTGAGAAATGGTTTAATCGGTTTAATAATTGGTCATCCGCAGTTATTAGAAAATATTTAAATTCTAATTGTCCATATGCATGTAAATTATATATAATGCAGAATCTTTGATTCAAATTTATTTCAAAACTGTTTTATCTATCTAAAAAGCAATTTGTTATATCACAGTATTAACCGTGTAAAAACTCTAAAACCTAAAAACTTGGCAATCATCGATAGAAGGAAACTTGGGCCCAGACAAGCAGCCACAGTGTACACTCCTGTTCTCAAGGTCCTCAGCATCAATTTCAAAATTGACGCCATCCTCCGGTGCATCTAGCTCCTCGCGAGCATCATTTACATCCTCATCCTCATTCATGTCCTTTGGTGGGATAAATGGACATTCACGTTCAAAAACCCTAAAAAGCTTGTTTATTGTTTAGATCAGGAAACTATTATTATCTTTTCTCTGATTAGTGAACATTTTTTTTTAATATCTAAACAATTCAGGATTATTTTCGAAATAGTATTTCTTAGTTTTACTTTAAAAAATATTTCCCTTGCTCCTACTGCAAGCTGACAAAGGTCATATGAACAAATTGTGTTCTACCTACAATCTTTGGACTCCAACCAATAGCAATCCCAGTGTAACAAACAGTGTCCCTGAAATTGCGTTTATTATTTTTTTGTTCATCTTTTACATTTTTAATCCTGCTATCTGTTGGCTTCGTAACTTTGCAGGATTAACGGGTCCAGATATTGTTATTTTAAGTTAGCGATTCGAACGTCCGCAAAAAATCTTATCAAGGTTATTTATAGTAATGTGAAAATGTTAAAAATTTCTTTTAAATTACACAGAATTTTGGAAGATTAGATTCAAGAAATTAATCACCTTATGTTCTCCGCGTTCATCTAGATAATGAGAAAAATACTGGCAAGCATCTCTAGCTTGACATATAGCCTAAATATCAGAGTTGATTTTTTTACGCTTCTTGCTAAATATTACAAAACATTATCATCATAATCATCATCATCATCACTATCATCATCATCATCATCATCATCATCATCATCATCATCATCATTATTATTATTATTATTATTCTTATTATTATTACCATTAATATTATTATTATTATATTCAGTCAAAGGACAAGTCCCAACCTGGACAGATAATAATATTGTATATTCAGTCAAAGGACAAGTCCCAACCTGGACAGATAATAATATTGAATAATATTGATATGAACTTCAAATCAAATTAAATTTCACGTTGTATCGATATATTATATATATTTCACGGTGTATCGATATATTATATATATTTCACGTTGTATCAATATATTATACATGTTTTCATTCCACTGCAAACTACCCAGGAGGAGAAGGCAAAGAGAATAGAATATATATTAAAGGGGAATTTACTAGAAAAAAGTGTAAAACGGCCATTTTGTTGTACTGTTTCCATACTGCAGGTGTACTTCACGTATTTATGCTATATAACCTTTTGGGCCCTGGAACATCATTTTATAAAAAATCTAAAATTAATGATAAAAGAAAACAAAATTATGAAATAGACTGGTTTCATAATTGACCAATGATCATTTCACATAGACTCTATGCCTTTCACTTTACAAACGATGATTTTCCGTTATAACTATAAATTAAATGATGTTTTTATTCACCTAATTCATTATAAAGTTTATTTAACAGCTTTAAAAGTTGGAAATTGAAATGGATAGTCTAGGGAACATACTGTATTAATGTACTCTACTGCATATAATTTGTGAACATTTACATGATTTGTACACTTTGAACTCCCTTTCAGGCTGAAAGGGACTGAAAAAATTCATACCGAGAGATTCTCTAAATTCCCCTCTATATATTCTATTCTCTGTGGGAGAAGGTTATTCTATTGACTTCACTGGTAGAATTTTTTGACTCCATTAATCCTCTGGTTCTGATTTCATGCACAAGATTAAAGGGTATGTAATTGGTAGTAGTCACTCCAGACCAAGAAATATGTAGACCAGGAACCGCCATATTTCATACATCAAATCTGTGTACTGCAGTGGGAGGAGATCAAAACAAAGAATTCAGGGGCAACGCATCTTTTTTGAGGGAAAAGGGCCCATGGGGTGGAATAAGAATATATTGTTATTGTATTTTTCATATTGACCAGAAATCCAAAAATCATAAGTATTCACTCTAACTTGATATATTAACTTGTTTTTTGTTGGACTGTAATATATCACATCAGAGCTGTAGTCCTTTCCTTCCAACTTCTGTGGGGGCACTGGGTTTGTTTGCATTCCTCCCACAATGTGCAGTACACAATTTGCGTTTATCTGAGTTGGGCGTTTCTGTATACAGTTTCTTGCTCCAGACAAAAAAAAAATTAACTGACAGCTTATAATCAAGAGGAATTTTTGCGAAAATACTTTTCACATGTGGTAATTTTATAAAAAAAAATATCACTAAACGTGCACCGAAGCCATCGCACAAAATCATAAAATTAACAATGATTTTTCCCTAAAAATCTTTAGATTCTTTATTTTGATCAGATTATATGTAAACACCATTTTATTTTTATGATATTTTCCGTTCATGCTGTTATATTTGTTTCTAACCTTAATTTAACATTTATTGATATTATTGTAATAAATTGTTGATGGAAAAGGAGAAACAAACCCAATTTTACAAATTATAACCTTTAAATTTACTTACAGTTATTAGAGGGCCATTCACAGGTATCAAAATCCGGGGATACAGGGCCACTCACACAACCCTTCAATAGTGGATTTAGATAACAACTGTTGACGGTTCATTAAAGATTCACAAAGGTACGCACTAAATCTTTACAGAATTGATAGAGATATCCTTATTTTTCTAATTCATAATTCATAATTTTAAACCTGAAGGAACAGTTTTCAAATTTTTGTTCTTGTTGACATTTTTGAATTTATAACTTTTTACCGGACATGTTGATATAAAATCACAACTTTTGAGCTGGTAGCACTGGGTCTCAAAGTGGGTGAAAAAGGAACAGGTTCCTGTAGGCTCTAGTCTAGAACAGCAAGAACATAATCAATAAATAAATCAATCAACCAATCAATTAATCAATCAATCAATCAAAAAAGTAAAAATGATAAATCCATAAAACTAAAGAAATGTTGATAAAATAACAATTTCAAATTTAACCAAACCAATCCCTTTCATTGACAAAAAGGAACAATCAAAGAAAATAAGCAAAGGAATAAGCTCGGATTTTCTGACCCCTATATCTTTTAAATCAGATGTAGTAGACCTTTTATATTTCAAATTATAAATTATATTAAATCGAATAGTCTAAGTTTGAAATATCAAAGGTTTAGATCATCAGATTACAAAGATAAAGGGATTAAATATTTTTGTTTGATTTTTTAAGACTTATCTTTGAAAAAAGGTTATTAATCATATTTTAAAATAATTAATTGGACTTTTAACCATCTGGGAAAGGTGTATTTTTTCCTTACACCAGTTGTCAGCGATTTTATCAATACAATGAAGACGACTTTTTACCAATAATTCTTTGATCCTTAACAAGAATTTTTCCTATTAAAAGTTTACAAGTAAACAAAGAGAAGCTGTCAATAGACAATTTAACTTTGTTTAATTGTTAAATTGTTTCTACTGTTAGGTCACCACAGTTTCAGTAGAAGTACATACATAGAGAATAGAATATATAGAGAGGAATTAAAAGAATCTCTCGGTATGAATTTTTTCAGTCCCTCTTAGCCTGAAAGAGAGTTCAAAGTGTACAAATCATGTAAATGTTCACAAATTATGTGCAGTAGAGTACATTAATACAGTATGTTCCCTATACTTTCCATTTCAATTTCGAATTTTTTAAACTGTTGAATAAACTTTATAATGAATTAGGTGAATAAAAACATCATTTGATTTATATAGTTATAACGGAAAATCATCGTTTGTAAAGTGGAAAGCCGGCATAAAGTCTACGTGAAATGGTCATTGGTCAATTATGAAACCATAATTTCATAATTTGGTTTTCTTTTAATATTAATTTTAGATTTTCTACAAAATGATGTTCCAGGGCCCAACAGGTTATATAGTATAAATATGTGAAGTACACCTGCAGTATGGAAACAGTACAACAAAATGGCCGTTTTACACTTTTTTCTAGTAAATTCCTCTCTATATATTCTATTCTCTATGAGTACATATTATCATTTACTGATAGCAACGATTGAAGGATTCATAACTCTGATTGGATAATGAGAGAAATAGAAAGATAGATGTTACCGCCATACTATTTTTATTGGTTCAGAATAGACACCAAACACACGGCTGAACCCTGATTGGATCAGGAGCAAATGGAATTGGTATACTAGAGTTAGGTAGATTTCAAAATTGTATTGAGATCTACCACGACAACTGTAGAAATATTACTCAACCTGCATTCGTCCTGGCAAAGGGAGGGAGAGGCAATGTGATGGTTTACAGCAACAATCGTATATTCAGTCAAAGGACAAGTCCCAACCTGGACATAAAATAATATTGTATATTCAGTCAAAGGACAAGTCCCAACCTGGACAGATAATAATATTGTATATTCAGTCAAAGGACAAGTCCCAACCTGGACAGATAATAATATTGTATATTCAGTCAAAGGACAAGTCCCAACCTGGACAGAAAATAATATTGTATATTCAGTCAAAGGACAAGTCCCAACCCGGACAGAAAATACTATTTTAAATTTAGAAAAAAAAGAGTTTAACATTGTTTAACTTTAAAATTGGATATTCAATAAATTCATCAATGCACTGTTAGAAGTGAATAAAGATATCTTTTCATTCACCTAGATCCAAATAGTAAATGTCTAAATAGTACATAATTGGCAAAACTCTCATAATTTGTTGGTAATACATTTTTGAGAAGCCATTAAAACTAAATGTTATTTTTTTGTCAACCATAACAGTTTGTTATCTATTTTTTTTTAATGCGCTGGCCTTGAACACTTGGCCTATGAAAGTGCAATGCAACTACAACGTTTACCTCTTCTACAAGAGGGGGGGGGGCTATACATAGATTCAGGCTCTCCAACCTTATAGAGTTAAGCTCTCACAATTTATATAGTGTCTAATGTCCAACTAAATAAGTATATTTTAAAATTATAATTTTAATTGCAAAAAATTCTCTCACCACTAATCAAATGTATTATTTGTTCTGAAAAAAACACCCCCGCCCAGCCATTGCAAAATAACCAGCTGTGTCTTTCATATCTGATTTCCAAATTTATTGATCACTATTGACAATACAACATAAATTTGTATCGCTTTTCTTTTAACTTTTTTTTACAGGTGTTGAGTTTTGTATGAAAAAATAACAAAAAAAAATAAAAAACTTAGTAAATTTGAAGAGATTGCTGATTTAGGAAGACGCGATTGTATTCAACTACGACCAGAAACGAAAGAGAATATTTTTTTTATACAGAATTATGAATTATTAGTTTAGATTTTTACTTATTGATTTAGAGACATATTTTGATGAATTTGTGAGGTAGCTGAACTACATACTGTCGGTTCAAATCCAGCATCACCAATTCAAATCCTCATGAAAATTTAACTTTGATCGATGATACAAGATTTGAATCATCGATTATTAGATTCGATCCTAGGACACACTAATTTAAAAAGAGTTCTTTCTGAAATGTTATCCTGTCTGTTATGTTTATAAAACGTCTAAATATTTAATTTTATAAACCTGGAAATCATTACAGCTCTGTCCATAGCAGTAGGCCACACACAAAGACTAAAAATATAATTTCAAAAAATAGGAAAATATGTACATTTTCTATTGCAGATGAAAATTTCTTTTACAGAAATATTTTGTTGTTTTCTCTGATAAAAGCAAGTAAATTATAAATGACAAGGTTGCAGGCTGTACGAGATAAACAAAATTATGTCATCATTAAAGAGACTGTAAGCTTTATATTACCCTCTTTGTAAAGATTGCAATGCCCGATTCACAAAGTTACCTTAAAAAGGACCGTTCACTTATTTGGGTAATTTCAGGGTAAACTAAAAAATAAGTGAACGGTCCCTTTAAAACCTTAATCTTAATGTGGAAAATAACGTGCAGTTTTTCTGATTCGAAAAGTGATCATTTCTAATAAATTCTTCTACAAGAAATGCGCAAGTCACTTTGCAGAAAAACCCAGAGTGAAAATTAACAGTTTTATTATAAAAATCTCGAATATCCATGCACTTGAAATTGCGCTTACGTAGTTCCTTAAACCAGAATTTGAATATTTACCAGAAGAATTAGAATCTTCATGATTGACCAGATAGTTTAAAACTGTATAAACTAGAATACATCTCTCTTATCTTCTTTAAACATCCTGATATTGATTTATTATGACGTAATAAATACTTGGTTTTTTAAATTCATCATTAAAAGATAACAAAGAATCTTTTGTATCAACTTGATGAAGTCTTGTAATATCTAAGTGGAGTCCTGTAACATCTTATTGGAGTCCTGTAACATCTTAGTGGAGTTTTAAAACATCTTAGTGGAGTCCTGTAGCATCTTAGTGGAGTCCTGTAACATCTTAGTGGAGTCCTGTAACATCTTAGTGGAGTCCTGTTCTATCCTAGTTCAAAGTCCTGTAACATCTTTTTAAGTCCTGTAATATCTTATTGGAGTACGGTAACCTCTTTTAGTGGAGTCCTGTTCTATCTTAGTTCAAATTCCTGTAACATCTCTTTAAGTCCTGTAATATCTTACTGGAGTCCTGTAACCTCTTTTAGTGGAGTCCTGAGACATCTTAGTGAAGTCCTGTATCATCTTAGTAGAGCCCTATAACATCTTAGTGGAGTCCTGTATCATCTTTGTGGAGTCCTTGTAGCATCTTAGTGGAGTCCTGTAATTTCTTATTGAAGTCCTGTAACATTTGTAATTTACGAAACAAATGAAAGAACGCAACCGTAATTCCGAAGTTGGCATTTCACAGTGATTTTTATAAAGCCAATTAAACCGAAGTGTGAGTTGTAAAAAATTAGCAATTTGTAAATCTAATTTTATAATTGAAATGCTGGGAGGGTTCATTTCAAAGGTGACAGCCGTTGGTTAAAATTGTGAGTGAAAGTGATCGATTTTGATGAAAAGCTTTGCAGTAATCTATAGCAATCTTATATATGTTTGATTTTATTAAAGGTAGAATTTGATATTTGGGAAATAAAATTTAGAATTTTTTGCTTTAAAAAAAGTTTCTTGGGCACTGTAATGAATTGGGGTTTAAACTAGCTAAATCTAAAATTGGATTGATTTTAAGGTTGCAAAAAAGTTAGGCTGACTTTAATGAGTAGAAAGTTTTAAAATATCTTAATTACACTTTGATTAAAATGCCCTAATTTTTCAGTGAGACTTCACTTTTAAATTCCTTGTTTAGTTGTGGATTTTTTTGTTTATTCTTTTTTGCTATAACTGTTTGGATATCTAATCATGTAAAGGTGCGTTAAAATTTGTTTGATGGATTTTGCATGACGGACCAGATTTTTAAGTTCCGGGAGAGGCCCTGGTTAAATAGAGGGAATCCCTTTAACAAAATAGGCAATTCCCCCCCCCCCCCCTCAACTCCTTTATTCCTTCCACTCCCGTCTTCCCCCCCTCTTTCTCTCTAACCATTCCTTCCATCTTCCTTCGTCCCTTTCCTTTTCTTTCCCCGTTCCCTCTTCTTTCCTTCCTTCCCCTCTTTACTACGATTTTCTCTTTCCCTCCATCCCCCTTCTCCCCCTCTCCCATGCCTCCGACCCCTCGACACCCCTCTTTTTAGAAAATTATCTTAGAGTGTAGTGAGTGAAGTGCGTATAAATTCAAGCGCAGTTTAAAGAATCTCAGTAATTCAATGAAAAGTGCAACGCTGTTTTTTATTTTTATAATCTTCGGTTTCATAGAGTGTGGAGTGTAGAGTGTAGAGTGTAGAGTGCAGAGTATAGAGTGTAGAGTGTAGAGAGTAGAGTGTGGAGTGTAGAGTGTAGAGTGTAGAGTTTAGAGTGTAGAGTGTAGAGTGAAGAGTGTACAGAGTGTACAACACAGTGTGGAGTGTACAGAGTGTACAACACAGTGTGGAGTGTACTGAGTGTACAACACAGTGTGGAGTGTACAATGTAAAGTATAAAACTGTGAGAGTTTAGATTGTCATGTGAAAACGACCTTTTCTAAATGTTTTATTGTTCACTAAGTTTTAAAAACTCTAGTTTTTCTTATTATGCATCGTATATTATTCACTAAAAATAAGAATATACTTGATAAAAACAACATATGATTCATATGCACAGGGCTTACTGCTCAGCTTATCTTATAAAGATGATTTTTTTGGTTTGTAAAATTACTCGGCAAAATAGCATAAAAAATAAGATTGAAAATCTATTAAATTTTATATATACACTTTATAATATAAACGGGAATCCCAAACTAGAATTAAAATATAAAAGTAATTTAACAAACCATGATTTCATTTGGATTTCTTAGACAGAACGGATTCTTGATTATAAATTCTATACATAGGCTTTCAGAGCGCTTCGTGTCCCTTTTCTAGTAACAATTTTAGCGGTTAATCGTTGCTCTTCAAGCTGCCATTTTTCTCTTTAAGCAGAATTTAAAGGAATTTTTTGCGCATTTTCAAAAATAATGATGGTCCACATTTTTTTCAGGGCAAAAATTGTAATTATTCATAAACCTTACCTGGGGTTTTAAAAAATTTAGCCCGATCGGT